TAGGGTTTGTAATACCGAGTTTTGCTAGTAATCCGTGGATAACCATCTTTCCCGTGATTTCTACACTCTTAGTACCTAGTGTTTCTAATACTCAGTTTTCTAGCAATACGTGGATAACCAACCTTCCCGTGTTTGACGAGGCGCTTGGTGACTTGTGTTTCTAATACTCAGTTTTCTAGCAATACGTGGATAACCAACCTTCCCGTGTTTGACTAGACGCTTGGTGACTAGTGTTTCCAATACTTTGTTTTTCTAGTAATCCGTGGATAACCAACCTTCCCGTGATTAACTATTTCAGAACTTTAGTATTTCCTGGTTCAGTCAAAGGGATAGAAACTTTAGTCGTTTAAAGCTAGTTGATATTCAGACGTAATCGTCTATTTTCGTAGTCTAAGTGACTCATTTTGGGGATAAGCTCTCGGTGTTTATTTCCCCTTTGTTTACTGAGCCGAGTTTATTCACTCATTAGAGTGCGGAGTTAATTGATTCAGGTGTTAAATGGTCGCAGCAGAAGTTTTTTAAATGGCAGTCGACGCACCGGGTCAGTATCTTGTCCCTCCTTCTTTTAGCTGTAATACAGTTGTTTGGCTAAGCCTTGGTTGTATATTTGCGCTAATAGAATTAATTTGTGATCTGTGTGAGCGGATTCATTTTTAAGTGTCAACCAATAGTACAATTAGTGGTTATTTAATAAACCTGTGAACCTATTACCACGTTTTTTTTATCACTTTATTCTTATTGTATGACACCCCTGATCATTGGACCACAGCTCCGTGACACTGCAAGGTCACCTAGGTAAGCCGCTGTCACTATATTGTATGACACCCCTGATCATTGGACCACAGCTCCGTGACACTGCAAGGACACCTAGGTAAGCCGCCGTCACTATATTGAATGACACCCCTGATCATCAGACCACAGCCAGTGACACTGCAAGGTCACCTAGGTAAGCCGCTGTCACTATATTGTATGACACCCCTGATCATCAGACCACAGCCAGTGACACTGCAAGGTCACCTAGGTAAGCCGCCGTCACTATATTGTATGACACCCCTGATCATCAGACCACAGCCAGTGACACTGCAAGGTCACCTAGGTAAGACACTGTCACTATATTGTATGACACCCCTGATCATTGGACCACAGCTCCGTGACACTGCAAGGACACCTAGGTAAGCCGCTGTCACTATATTGTATGACACCCCTGATCATTGGACCACAGCTCCGTGACACTGCAAGGACACCTAGGTAAGCCGCTGTCACTATATTGTATGACACCCCTGATCATTGGACCACAGCTCCGTGACACTACAAGGTCACCTAGGTAAGACACTGTCACTATATTGTATGACACCCCTGATCATTGGACCACAGCTCCGTGACACTGCAAGGACACCTAGGTAAGCCGCTGTCACTATATTGTATGACACCCCTGATCATTGGACCACAGCTCCGTGACACTACAAGGTCACCTAGGTAAGACACTGTCACTATATTGTATGACACCCCTGATCATTAGACAACAGATCCTTGACACTACAAGGACACCTAGGTAAGCCGCCGTCACTATATTGTATGACATACCTGATCATTGGACAACAGATCCTTGACACATGTGAGGCTAGATGGCAGAAATACTCAACACGTGAGACAAGTCTGGAACTCCTCGTGAATCGGAATTTAATGAAATTGATGAAACCCGTAATTTAAATCCCATGGATAATATTATTACCAGCTGATATAAAACGTTGTGGGTAGGGAATATCTTCATATCGAAATTTAGGCACTCGGATGTGACTGTTCACATATCTGAAATCTGTAATCGGTCTAGATCTGTTATATTTCTTAAGATCACATCCGAACGGTCAAATACATTTTGGAGTATGTGATACTTTCCTAAAAGCAGATAGCAAATGTTTCATTCAGAGTCAATCAAACTTTTTCTGAACACTATGGTGGTCAGTCTTGAAGGATAAAACCTCTGGAAGAAACTCTGATTTTACACATTATGAAATAATAGACACACCATACCCTTTCACTCCTCCAAGGTTAAATGTAGTGAAGCGGCCTTAAAATCTACGTCATTTAATCACATGTTGGTTAATATATCACTGGCACAACCCGAAGAATGATCATGAAGTGCGCGCTCATTTCTGTGCCCCAAATTCTGCTGTGCACATCTCTGTTCACTACGTCTGTCGACGCCCTGGAGACTTTGACAACCACTGTAGCTGCCTGGGCTTCGCTGATTTTATTTTTGCTGAAACTGTTACCTCGCCTACGACCGTCGTTCCCAAATGTCGAGGTTGAATCAGGTATAGATGTTGTGGTGACTGATGTTAATCTTGCAGATGTGTGCATGTTGTCAATCTTTTCAATATCAATTTTTATCTCATTGAGATATAAGATAGATTGTTTATAAATGTCCCGATGAACAATGAACAAGCACGCGCGTACTGGAAAAGGAGGCCGTCACTGGTTATCATATTAGTCGTATTAGATTTTCCTGTCAAAAGTGATGAATTTGAAGATGATCACACGTTTTTCTTCTAAATCTAAATCAGTGACAACATATGTCTGAGGCTAAACGAATCGTGGTCGTTTTTATCGTACAATAAAACACTGCAGGGAGAATAAACCACTCGGGACTGCGCCCCTCAATAAAACACTGCAGGGAGAATAAACCGTGACGGGTGCAGTCCCGAGTGGTTTGTTCTCCCAGGAGTGTTTTATTGTACGATAAACAACGACCACGAGTCGTTTATTTCTCATATCAGATATCAACATTATGTACAGCCTCTCTGATGTTAATAAAATCAGGTACAGACTTTAGAAATATTTACCCGTATTTAAATAATGATGATTCCCTGAATACAAAATGACCTCGGTAATGTCGGACAAGTCCATAACAAGTCTTTAACAAGGGGTTAAGTTTGGATATTCTCACAATCTTCAGGTCGATTATCTGAACCTTTTCTCCCAATACCGATATCTCTCCCACTATGGGTGCGATCGTTTCAACAGTGCGTTTATCTGCGCTTCCCATCTACATCTGAGGAGAAAAACTCACTGGACACTTCCCTATAAAAAATGACGTTGTCCAATTGACGACGTCATCAGGTTGCGAACCCATGTTCGAAGCTCCAGAAATGACGTCATGATAGACAATGTTTTATCGTGAAATAAACCACGCTTCCCTCTTCCTAGTTCTTTGAGATTTATCGCGTAGCTGTCTCTGATAAATATAAATATAAATATAAACGCCAGAGAATAATCACTTTGGATTATTCTCCGAAACAGATTCCATTAGCGTAACAGGCAAACTTGCATTGAAAATTGTATGAGATGATCACCGATAATCGGTGATGCCAACAGGTGTTTGCGAAAAGTCGAAAATATCCATGTCGATTTTCCACATGTTTTTTCCATGTGACCACTGATGCTATTTCAAGCGTATTCTGCAAAACGTATGAGGTTTATGCGCTGTACACATTGTAACCATGGGAGACGAAACTGGTACACTATTGTGATATGTACCCCTGCTTATATCTGCCGAAATAACAAATACAAGTTGTTTGTGAACTGAATATTTATATCTGCGGAACGACCAACGTTTAACATCAGTAACTCAACACGTCAATAGAGTACAGAACACGTGAGTTGAATCTTAAAGAAACATGGGAGACCTACATTCGTAATCATGAGTACAGGACCGGTGAGGAACCGGGGTAGAATAGGTCTTCAGCAACCCATGCTTGCCGTAAAAGGTGACTATGCTTGTCGTCAGAGGCGACTAACGGGATCGGGTGGTCAGGCTCGCTGACCTGATTGATGCTTGTCATCGTAGCCCAATTGCGTGAGTCGATGCTCATATTATCAACCACTGGATTGTCTAGTCCAGATTCGATTATTTACAGACCGCCGTCATATAGCTTAAATATTGTAGAGTGCGGCTTTAAACAACAAAATAACTAACTAACTAACCAACATGCGTACAGGTGGTTGTCGTCGCTAGATTTAAGGCGAGTTTAGAGTTGTCTTTGTTAGTTTGTTTGTTATTTAACCACGGCGGTCTGAACATATTCGAGACCAGACAAACCAGTGATTGATATTATGAGCAACGATGTACGATGTCGGGGTACGATGACACACAATCAACCAAGTCAACGAGCATGACCACCGACCTATGAACTCTCCTCTGACGTCAGGCACATATTGTTGCGGACCTGTTCTGACCCGGGGCCATCGGGGGTAAAACATTAGTTGTTTTAAATCTTTGAATCAAGCTCTTGAGAGATGAGAAATGCCTGTATAGTTGATAGATTGTGCGTTGAGAAAAGTGTTTATATGACAACTAAGCTTCTGATTGTCAGTGTTTAGTGCACGTCATACAGAAATGCCATACAAACAATCTTAATTCTTTTAAAGATTCAACTCAATTAGATGTATTGCAAAAACGATGAGAAACCATCCTCGATGATCCAGTGCAGTATATCGTCATTCTATTAGGATATATACCCTGGACCCAGTCGCTGCCAAAACGTTTTAACCTGAATCCAGTTGCACGACCAATCAAATCATTCTCACGAACGACACTGAGAATCCCGTCCTAAGCTAGGAATAGGAGCGATGGTGGAGATGGCGACGTCACTTCCGAGACGAAGCAATGGTGTCGAATGGGTCCTGGGTATAGTTTAAACATATTTTATTCAACTGAACTTAAAAGTTCATAGGCATAACTGATGAATATTGTCGTAGCGCTAAGATCGCTTTGTGCGAGTGGGCCCTGATTACAAAATTACATTTGTGTAGACATCTAATCTTCAAGGGCAACAAGCAATACATAGTTTTAGTATATAATAAGAGTGAGTGAGTTGGGTTTAACGCCGCTTTTAACAGTATTCCAGTTATATCACGGCGTGTCAGCTTAATGTGGGAGGACAGCCCGAAGTAATGCAGGTCTTAGACGTTTACCACGTCGGTGAAACCCACGAACATAATCGGGGTGAACCGGGATTCGGACCCACAATTATAGGTTTCTGGCGTGCCCAAGGGACACAACTCTGCACAGCGAATCGCGGCGCTTTAGACGACTGGGCCACCCGTGCCCCCGTATATAATAAGAAGGCTACCCATATTGTAAAAATGTACAATAAGAAACCTACCACTATTTTCTATAAAATCATTGAGACATAAGTACAGGGTATTTATCATAATAGAACAGATAAAATACTTGATAATCGATGATGGTAAGAGTGAGTGAGTTGGGTTTAACGCGGCTTTTAACAGTATGCCAGTTATATCAGAACGCGTCTGCTTCATGTGGGAGGAAAGCCCGAAGTGGTGCTGGTGTAAGACGTTTACCACTTCGATGACAGAGGCTAGTAAAAAGCATGGTACGGACAAGACAGCTTAGCTTACACATGGCACCAACATTGTATACGAACGACCAGTGACTATAGTTAAATACGGGTAGATACGATACATATAACGAAATAAACATATAATGAAGGGTGACAGGTAACAGAAGGACTTCCAGGGGCGTTTGTCCCTCAGAGGGTCAAGGTGAGCATGAACAACAGTAGCAGTGACGTCATGGCAAAGGTCACTTGACAAGAGGCACCTGAGGAAGAAAGAATATGAGAAATCAAATTATCCAAACTTTAAAAACTCAATCAACACCGGATTTATCCATGATAATCCATGATTGAAAATGTCAACTTAATATGTCGTCAGTGTGTCATTGAGACGGACTGAAGTAGTGAGTGAGTTGGGTTTAACGCCGCTTTAAACAGTATTCCAGTTATATCACGGCGTGTCAGCTTAATGTGGGAGGAAAGCCCGAAGTGATGCAGGCCTCAGACGTTTACCACTTCGGTGAAACCCACGAGCCCGGGTATGGTGCTGACAAACTTAGAAACATAATCGGGGCGAACCGGGATTCGAACCCACAAACATAGGTTTCTGGCGTGCGCAAGGGACGGACTGAAGTACTTCCGACTCAAGACTCAGTTCACTCGTGTGATCATGTATGAACATTTTCCAATATAAGGAAATATGTTCTTTATTTGCAGTTGACACGATATACGGCTTTTCCATTGGACGAGAGGTCGGTCACCTGACCGCGAGATTGACGTTCGTAAGTGTAATGAACGACACAATTTGACGTTCATACGTTTTTCACGAGGCCGTGTTCTTGAAATGACGAAAACACTATATCCACATTCCTGGGGAAACCCTGGGAATTCCCTAGCACGAAAACATACATAAGCGCCCTTTCTGATCATTTAGACGCTTTAATCTTGAACTCAGCGTTTTGGTATACATTGGGAAATGTCAGAGTTTGACTGCACGATCGTTCACGAATATCCTCGCTACGACTCATCCTAGTGAACGAAACGAAAAAATGCACATCTAAACTATGGTAGTGTCTAGGCTGGCAGTGACTCTACAGCAATCTACGACTTTACCTTAGTGTCTATTTGACACATCTTTAATCACCTTTCAATGATCGGCCAATTGATCAATGATGACTAAAACATGTAACCGCCATGGGGTCATTAGCAACCGACGTTCATACAGTTTGGCCCTCACTCTATGAAGGTTCATACTCCAATTACCTCACTCAAAATGAAAGTCAGTTCTTAAGTATTATTCCTACAACACTAGCCTCGATTTACATTTCGTGACACCAAGACTGAACTGTTATCAGGATTGCAATTATATTGGCATTATGATGTCAAGTGAATATTTGATCAAAATATTGGATAATGAGCATCTATATTCATCGCCTTTACTGACATATAGAATCCCAGATTTCTACTGATTACAATCCATGGTTTTTCTGCTCAGTGGTAAATGTTTTTGGTTTGGTAGGCATTACTAAGAAGTTGACGGATGACAAGGTAGACACAATTTTATGGATAACAACTTCTTTAATACTGTAAAAGCGACGTTTCGGTATAGATCACCAGAATCAAAGAGCACAAAACCTCAACCATTAAATCAGACAGTAAATCAGCCATCTAGGACCATATCAGCAATTGTCCTATTCACAACATCAACTGGGACAACGTCCAAATCCTCATCAACAACCTCCATGGTTTCACTAAAAGAAAACTAACAGAAGCAGTTCACATTCGCCGCCACAAGCTATCAATCAACAGAGATCAAGGCTATTTCATCCCATCCGCCTACTCATACCAGACCTCATCAAGCAATAATCACTTATCCTGTTTAATTGGCTTCATGTCCCATTGGCTTCCACCTGTGTTTTCTCTGTCCAGCGTGTTGTGACAGTATTATCCTTCTGTCAACACCTACCCATGTTATCCCAGTCATGTATGCTATTGTTGTTACTGTTAATCCTCTACTGTTAATCGGGGGTCACGGGTGGCCCAGTCGTCTAAGGCGCCGCGATTCGCTGTGCAGAGTTGCGTTCCTTGGACACGCCAGAAACCTATGATTGTGGGTTCGAATCCCGGTTCGCCAAAATTATGTTTCTAGGTTTGTCAGCACCATACCCGTGCTCGTGGGTTTCACCGAAGTGGTAAACGTCTGAGACCTGCATCACTTAGGGCTTTCGTCCCACATTAAGCTGACACGTAATATAACTGGAATACTGTTAAAAGCGGCGTTAAACCCAACTCACTCACTCTACTGTTAATCCTCCAGCTACTATATATATATTCTGTACAATGTCCCTCATTTACCGTGTGCGAAATACGCTGCAGTCGGAAAGCGCACGTAAAATCTCCAATATAAGTAAGTAAGTACCCTCATTCAGTCTTGCTGGACAACGGTATAAGGATCTATACCGACGTCGCTGTTTACAGTATTAAAGAAGTTGTTAACCATAAAATTGTGTCAACCGTGGTAAATGCTGATGTTACTTTGGACGTTTTCCCTAAGCTAATCTACACGTAGTGATACAACCTTGTTATGTTCAAATCCCCGTACAATCTCATCTACCACCCATACATACCGCCACATCTCTACGACTTACATCTGGCCTGTATTTTCATGTCGACGGCAGTGGCGATGCTGGTCTTGGTCATGTCGTTACAACCGGTGGTGCCTGTGATATTTCTCAGACAGGTCTTCAGTGTTGAAAGGACACTTTTGGGGATAAAGATGTAACATTGTACTATATTCTCCTGGCTACTTTTATAATAAAATAGTAAACTGAATCAAACAAATACATATTCAAAGTCATCTAACCCACTCAGCCACCGAGGCATCCACAAAAATAAAGTACTAGAATCTGTACTTTACTATGAAATTGATCACTTTGATCTCTTTCTAAATAGCATTGTGTGTTCATGGTTTTCGCCCATGGGAGCCGTAATACACACTTGTCAGAAGGGTACACAAAGTACGTGATCTAGACTATTAGTTGTCCGGATTTCATTCCCGATAAGAGATAAATGAATTGGAAATAAATTAACAAACAATGCCATTTAGAAAGTGATCAAATTTAACAATTGTCATATTTAGGGATAACACTTTCTTAGAAAAGTACAGATTCTAGTACTATATTTTTATGGAAGCATCGGTGGCTGAATGGCGATGAGGTGCCTCAATCTGGCAGTGTAGGTTCGAATCCCGGATGGGACTCAACCCCAAAAGAGTACGAGAATATGTACTAAGGAAGTATAATCCTAAAATATAACATTTGTTGAATTGGAAATACATGTTTGGTAAAACTTTGATTATTTGTTTTACCAAAGGAGCATTAAAGGGCATCAAACAAACCCGGATCCAGCCAGCCTGCCCTATGCCAACTACTATGTTGTGTGTGCAGTTAGGAATTGAATACGCTGGAAAGTCAGTATGCCCTTGTCATCATAACTATCTCAATTGCGTGGATTGATGCTGATGATGTCAATCACTGGGTTGTCTGGTCCAGATTCGATTAGATACAGACCGCCGTATAACCAACATGCGTACAGGTAATTTGGTGGTTGTCGTCGTTAGATTTAAGGCGAGTTCAGAGTTGTGTTTGTTTGTTATTTAACCACGGCGGTCTGAACACATTCTATTCCAGACCAGACAAACCAGTGATTGATATTGCTGAGTGCGGCGTTAAACAACAAACAAACAAAATTATTGATATTTGATATTGTCTTTGGTTGCCTCTATATTACCATATATTATATACGTTTATCATTAGAGGGCTAATAAGAATGACTATATGACCGATTTATATATATCTGCATCACAATCATAACATGACACTGTGAAATCCTAATCTATCTTATTCCCACAGATAATATTAATTTTCTTTTTTGGGCCCAAAAGCAGCCAATGTAATTCGAATCTTGATCTCATTTGCTTGAACCGTACTTCAAATAATCTTTCATGGTCACTATTAACATATATGTGGCCAGGTTCACATGTCTGCATTGTGCTTTCTTAATCTCCTTACTTGCAATATTTACTGCCGCTCGAAGAGTCTCCCTTGGCGGCGGCGATCTCGCATTTGCAAGTGGAAGTTGACTCTGAAAAAAACATGTAATAAATAAAACATCATGTCATACGAGTTCGCTTTGATTACATTGCCTCTCTTCTATGATAATAATGATCACCTAATCACATGGCTTCTTTTAAATAACAATAACTGTCAATTCTAGAAGGCAGACTATGCATCGGACCTTGTTCCATAGATTCTGATAATTTCCCTATAAACTGAAATACAAAGTATCCAGACAAATTGTGTTGTTGAGATTGTCCTGAATTAAACTAAGTTTGTTTCTACGTGGTCGATTCATAATTCTTGTCAATGGTCTCCAGATCCTTGAAGTTCAACGTCAAGGGATCGTCCTAATAATATTGAGTTATCCTTAAGTCGGGACTAGCAGAGTGACTCTTGAACACGGAACATTGTGTCGATAAGGTGTCATTAGCGAAGACGTTCCATCAACTTGATGACGTCAACATCATAGACTCTAACTCCATCAGCGCCACATGATAATAATAGTCCATTCATATTGCGCATATTTCCTAACCACTCAGGGGCATGCCCAAAACGCTATTATTACCCCGGTCACTGGATCAGTGGACACTTAACAATAATTATCAGCTCCCTGGGGAGTATACAACCCAAGGTGCCTGTTAGGCGCTAGAACAATCACATTGCCATCACATCCTACCAAATGCACATTCACTGCCTGGATGAACAGACGCACATTTCGAACAAAGTCACTTGCCCAAAGAGACACCACATGTGGTACATGTGCTTCAATGTGGGGCAGGACCGAAGCCCTAGAAACTCTCAGGAGCCAAGCTGCAGAACACGGTAACGTATCCAAGGACTCTCTGCGACCGACGTTGCTTAACTTCACCTAATGTGGTTGTGTAAGTCGAGCTAATATAGTTTGAGTTCACGAGGTTTCATGGCATCATCTAACAGAACTACGGTTGGTCAAGGATATCTCCTACTAAAACCTGCTGACAGTAACATTGTATATGTGTGATAAATACGCTATAACAATATTATCTGTTAAACTCCATTTTTGTTTGTTGTTTAACGCCGCACTCAGCAATAGTCCAGCTAAATGCGGTCTGTTAGTAATCAAGTCTGAACTAGGCAGTCCAGTGATTGACATCAATAGCAACGATCAAAGCAATTGGGATACGATGACATGCATCAACTAAGTCAGCGATCCTGACCATCCGATCCTCTGTCGCCTCTGACGACAAGTATGGAGTTGCTGAAAACTAATTCAAACACGTATACGGGAAATAATGTTTATGGATAAATAATGGATTGCCAACCTGGACATAGAGTTACATTGAGTGCGGCCAGTTCATATCCAGCTAGTGTTCCAATGATTCGTTTTGCGATGGTGCCGTTACAACCAACAGACCTGGCAGTCGCCAAGCAGCTCAGTTTGTTTTTGTAAGCGCTGTAAAAAATACATGTAAATCTGTGTTAAGATTCCAGTTAACTATCCCAAAGTATACCAGACTTTGTAATAGTGTTTGTTTGTTTGTTGTTTAACGCCACACTCAACAATATTCCAGCTATATTCTGTAAAACATCATGAACACCGATCCACGTTAATGGCATCGAAGCCATGCATCAACCAAGTCAGCGAGCCTGACCACCCGATCCCGTTAGTCGCCTCTTACGACAAGCATAGTCGCCTTTTACAGCAAGCATGGGTTGCTGAAGAGCTATTCTACCCCGGATCTTCAAGGGTCTTGAGTGAGTGCGTGAGTAAGTGAGTTTTAACAGTATTCCAGTTACATCACGGCGTGTCAGCTTAATATAGGAGGAAAGCCCGCATGGATGCAGGTCTCAGACGATTACCACTTCGATGAAACCCACGACCACGGGTATGGTCCTGACAAACCTAGAAACATAATCTGGGCGAACCGGAATTCGAACCCACAATCATAGATTTCTGGGTGCCGTTGTACAAAACAACCTTAACACTACGACTGGCGTAAGACTATGTTATGGTATGGGAGTTACGATCACCTTAGCACTAAGATCGATTTGTACAACGGCACCTGGTGTGCCCAAGGGAAGCAACTCTGCACACCGAATTGTGACGCCTCAGACGACCGGGCCACCCGTGCCCTCGACATTATAATAAATAACCCACATACATATACATATGTAGTGTAACGCCCCGTCAGTTTTTCAAAGACTTCACATTTAGTGCCATATCTGTAAACGTTATAACTGGAAATACATGATCATTAGGCACCAGCATACCTGTATCCCTCTTGCAGTGATGAGGTTTCCCCTTTCATAAACTCATCTTTATTGTCTTGTCACCCTATGCAATACATACTACTGTGATGTGAGTGAGTGAGTATGGTTTTACGTCGCTTTTAGCAATATTCCAGCAATATCCAGATCATCGGTGTGACTAGGAACGCTTTAGCCACCAAGCTCCCCTACTGCTCTGATGGTGTGGCATTATTCGGGGCTATAGGGTAGGTGCCACTTTTGTAGCATTACTTTTCTCGTTATTGCTTCGATTATTTTCACGTAATTTCGATTATTTTCTCGTTATTTCAAGTTCATTTCAAAAACTCGAAATTTCGATTTTTGTTCTCGTTATGTCGAAATATCTAGAGAAAAATCGTAATTTCAAGAAAATAATTGAAATAACGAGAACACACAAATATTTCACCGAATATTTCTTGCAATGATACATTCGCTGCATGAGGTAATAGTGGGGTTTTATAGTGTCAGATACTACGCTGCAGGTTTAACACAGCTATCCGGATCAGACACAGTATACGGACGCCGAGCCGATCAGTTCATGTATTATCCCCTTAATGCCGAGCGCCAGGCAGAGTAACAACAAGTTCCATCTTTTAATGTATTTTGGTATGACGAGGCCGAACCACCAAGCTTCCCCCCACTCTCCGGGCTTACACTCTCTCCACTACACCACAGAGGCAAAGAAAACACTTGTGAACTTAAACCGAAGAGTCGTCCTCAGAACGGTGACCGAATGTGGGGATTAGGTAATCCAATTAACGACTGAACTACTGACCGCCTCCGTGGTCTAGTGGTAAAGCGTCCGCCCGGAGAGCGGAAGAGGCAAAGAAAACACTTGTGAACTTCACCGAAGAGTCGTCCTCAAAACGGTGAACGAATGTGGGGATTAGGTAATTCAGTTAACGACTAAACTACTGACCGCCTCCGTGGTCTAGTGGTAGAAAGTCCGCCCGGAGAGCGGAAGAGGCAAAGAAACACTTGTGAACTTCACCGAAGAGTCGTCCTCAGAACGGTGATGAATGTGGGAATTAGGTAATTCAGTTAACGACTAAACTACTGACCGCCTCCGTGGTCTAATGGTAGAGTGTCCGCCCGAAGAGCGGCAGGTCCGGGGTTCGATAACCGGCCGCGGCATACCAAAAGACGTTAAAAATGGTAATTGTTGTTACCCGTCTGGCGCTCTGCATTAAGGGATTCAAACAAGGACTGGTCGGCTCGGAGTCAGTATACTGTGACTGAGTTGGGTATTCATGTTAAACTGGACTCAGTCCGGACGATACAAGCAGCCACACACACAGTCCGGACGATACAAGCAGCCACACACACACACACACACACACACACACACACACACACACGTGACGTCGCTATATATGCAACATTGGACGCGACGTTAAACTCCATTTCACCGAGCCTCACTAAACTACTTTATTGATTACTGATAATACTCACGTGCACTTTTCTGCATCATCTGTCTGTTGGGCGTTGTCAAATGCGCGCTGGCAAAGGCACGTGTCGTCGAAGGCTGTTGAGATGGTGAACATATAATGTAGCTGGTGAGTCACAGATTCAAAACATATTTTACTATTTTACTGTGATTTCCGGCGTATTTCACTAATACTTTCAAAATTCATTCTTTTCTCATGTAATTATTTGGAGGTGATCTTTGAACTTCATTCTCTTTGTTAACTCAGGGACCACCTCCGTGGTCTAATGGTAGAGCGTCCGCCCGGTGAGCGGAAGGTCCGGGGTTCGATCCCCAGCCGCGTCATACCAAAAGACGTTAAAAGATAATTAAGGGGCTAAACAAGGACTGGTCGGCTCGGAGTCAGTATACTGTGTCTGAGTGGGGTATTCATGTAAAACTGCGGCATGGTATCTCAGTGTGCTAGCACTATAAATGGGCATCAGTCCGGACTAGTACAGGCAGCCACACACACACATACACGTGCATGCACGTCGCGATATAAGTGCAATAATCTTGGACGCGACGTTAAACCCCATTTCACCTCACCTCACCTGTTAACTCAGGACAATGAGTGAGTGGGTGTTTCTTTGGTTTATGCCACCGTCAGCAATTTTCCTGCTGTATCCCGATGACACGGACATATTCCAGCCTTGTAAACCAGGGATTGAAACATGAGCATTGACCAGCCTCATTACCTGAGCCACATGTAAATAAAAATTGTCAATGCAAGAAAATAACCAACCTAGATGTTCTGCTGACACAGTATCCACTTGGCGTAAAGGGCAAAAAACTATGAGTGAGTGAGTTGGGTTTAACGCCGCAGTATTCCAGTTATATCATTGCGTGTCAGCTTAATATGGGAGGAAAGCCTGAAGTGATGCAGGTCTAAGACGTTTATCACGTCGGTGAAACCCACGAGCACGGGTATAGTGCTGACAAACCTAGAAACATAATCGGGGTAATCGGGATTCGAACCCACAATCATAGGTTTCTGGCGTGCCCAAGGGACGTAACTCTGCACAGCGAATCGCGCCGCCTTAGACGTGTTGCAATGGAATCTGTTTCGTTGGATAATGGAGATAATGTTCTCTGGCGTTGGCGTTCTATACGTTACCACACTGGTGATGTTATGATGCTGTTGCTGATGATGATGATTTCGTTTGTTTGTTTAATTGTTGTTTAAGCCGCACTCCGCAATATTCCAGCTATATGACAGCAGTATGTAAATAATCGAGTCTGGACCAGACAATCCAGTGATTGACATCATGAGCATCGATCCACGCAAATGGGATACGATGACATGCTTCAACCAAATCAGCGAGCCTGACCACCCGATCCCGTTAGTCGTCTCTTAAGACAATCATAGTCGCCTTTTACTGCAAGCATTGGTTGCTGAAGACCTATTCTACCCCGCATCTTCACGGGTCTGATGATGATGACTAAATTCAAATACGCACTGCACGATGCGATGGACGTGACTGATGTCACAGCGTCAGCGGTCAGAGAGGTGACGTTGTTATCATTACACGTGGAAGTCGCCTCCAGTGAATAGAGGCAAGCATACTGGGCCTTGTCGGCACTGGAATGAAACAATTCTGATAAGGATACATGTACAGTAAACTACGTTTATAACGATAACGCTTATAACGAACTGACGGATATAACGAACGTTTTCTTCCCGAACATTTTCTGTATATATGCTATATATATTACCAATTACGGTCATTACGAACTAAAATTAGTGGTCCCTTTGCGTTTGTTATAACCGTAGTTTGCTATATGATAATTAGAATGTAGAGTAATACAGAATTCGGTCAAAAACTTATTTCGCATAGAATGACACAATTCACTCTTTAAAAAATTAAAGGTTTGGAAATTAGAATCAAAATTACTGCGATTTGGTTGTTGTTCAACGCCGAACTCAGCAATATTCCAGCTAAATTTATATGACGGATTGATGTTATGACTGATATTATGAGCAACGATCCACGCCATCACTAAAGCCACCCAGCCTGACGACCAGTTCCATTTAGCTGCCTCTTACGGACCAGCATCATTCGTCACCACTCGCCCCTTCACGTAACCTGCAAGATGACTTGCCCCCTGTCGATGAATAGTATGTGCGAAAATACGACAAACCAATCAGAATGCGCGTATGATTTCAAGTTCATCGTCAAAGAATCCTTCAGAAATAATTTTTGATTTTACATATGTCTTGCATCTAAAAATAACCAAGGACACAGTTAAATGTGTTCAATCATACTGTATAATTCCGCACGTCCCAATGTGCTTTAAATTGCATCTGAAATATATACAATACATGGGGAAATAATACGTGAACCATTACGCAACGAGTTGACAATTGTTTTAGGTATGCCCGTTTGCGCTAAGACGAAACCCGGTCGCAAAAATGGCCATGAGAGGGGCACGAGTCGCTATTCGGCTTGTCCCGGAATAACACGAGTTGGTCACGAATGGGACCAGCATAAGGAGCTAACCATGCTTCATTATGAAGATATCAACACAATGTTTTTAAACAAAGAGTTATAGACTGTTCATCACATGATTGGCATTTCTTCGATTCCATGCATTTTAATTCTCTTTAAATGTGAGTCGTATCTAAGTCAGATAAGTGTTCCATTACAGATACATCCTTACTTAAATTTCGCAGCGGGTTAAACTCATTTGGAATCCACGATGTTCTTACAGGAGTATGCACTTCTTATGATAATGCTGACGTACGCTTTTTGTATAGAAGGTTTTGTTCTTGAAGATGAGAATCATGTCATATTTATCGTATTAAGATGGGGGAGATACAAACAAAATATTTACTCTGTACTCTCCAAAATAGAGGTGAAATGTAACCTCACGTATGTAATACAGGTCATGAATACAATAAACATCTTGAATCGTGAATATCGACACAATGGATTGACATTGTGATTGAGTGGGTATGATTTCACGCTGCTTTTAGCAATATTCGAGTTACGTATCACGGGACACCAGAAATGGGCTTCACATATTGTACCCATGTGGGGAATCGAACCCGGGCCTTCGGCGTGACGAGCGATCGCTTTAACCACTAGGCTACCCCCCTGGCCAACATTGTGTTTCATAGTGATACTTACTTTAAAGTTTGATAGCTGCAATAAATCATTGATGCGGTTATTTTTAGTTTATGTTTTTGTTTGTTTTTTAACTATAAACACATTGATGTGCATTCTTCGTTATACTCTAAACTTACCTGCATTTCTTGGCCTCGGTGGAGATGTCAGCTTTCGCAGCGTTGATCTCACACTGACAGACATCATTCACAGCTGGAAACAATTACGATATAATCACGAGTGAGGTTGGTTTAGGACCGCTTGGTATGGTATTACAGTTATATCACGATATGTCAGCTAAATGTGGGACATCTTGATGAGGTAAGAGAGTTTACTGACTATTAAAGCCCAGTTTCTACCCTTGCCGAACTAGACTGGTATTATGGAGTTAGAATTTGGCTGGACTAACGAATCTATTCATAGTCGAATCAAATTCGTGCAATGAAATCGAAATTCGATTCGTAATCTGGCATGCAGATTTCGGTCGTTTGCAGGATTTGCAAAGCCAACTCGGCGTCAACGGATATTTTCCAAATCTTTTCATGTAATCTAATCAAGGCGCTCACGTCATCGTATGCACTTCGCGATGTAAGACCCGTTTTATCACAATATAGATCTTGATTATCGATCATATCGTCTTGAATCTGATAGGTCAATAGGAGAGACATAGAAGGGACATCACTCATAATAGCCACTGGTGGCACTACGATTGAGCCCAGGAATTCCAGCCTAGTTCGGCAAGGATGGAAACTAGACTTTTATAGCCAGTTAACTCTCTTGCCAGGGGAAGATGAATGTGGAATAAAATGCCCAAGTGGTGCGAGTGGTAAACGGTTACCGCATTGGGAAAACTATGGACGCGGATTAGTGCCACAATCAACTTACATCTACGTAGATGATACTTTAATCTACATAGATGATACCTCTCACATCTACGTGGAAGACACTTACATCTACGCACATAATAAAAACATCTACGTAGAAGAAAGTATTATTTACTATCAAATTATCGACTAAGGTAACAATATATTCTCGATTAATTGACACTAGTTCCGGGTCAGTTATGTTTAACCTTTGGCTTAATTAATAATGACCGCTCGTCACGATATGGCTGAAACATTTCCGATGTGACGTAAAGCATTAACTCACTCAATAATGATCGCCTTCTTTGACTTTCTACCTTTCAAAACATGACACAAAGTAAATCTTAATTTCAATGTGTCGAAGTAACAGGAGAATGACACACACCACAACCGTTATAGAGAGAAGAAATATTACTGTATCATCTACGTAGATGTTAAACAAATTTAGACTTTGGCACTAATACGCTTCTATATGAAACCTACAATCAGCATGTTGTTTAAAGTCGCTCGTCACGCTGAAGACCCGGGTTCGATTCCCGACATGGGTACAATGTGTGAAGCCCATTTCTGGTGTCCCCCCGCCGTGATATTGCTGGAATATTGCTAAAAGCGGCGTAAAACCATACTCAGTCAGTCATGTTGTTTAAAGAGGCAGATCATGCCTCTGAGCGTGTGTACCTTTTCAGTGGCAACAGCAACCTCAAGATCGATATGCTCTTATATCCGCCTTTGCTACCCAATGAAGGTGTCGTCACAGATAAACAAATATAAATTATATGCAGTTGTCCATCTTTCGTACATCTTCAGCGTCTGTCACTATCAAGCAATTACGGGAACATATTGTACACTTACATCAGAATTATTAAACATAACTGACAAAGGTCAGCACATTTCAATTGTATATTCGAAGGCTAAATGGGTATATAAACATACAGCAGTTAGCCAAAGTCGACATCCTTGTCTGCACGCCAGCTGCCAGAGATGCTGCACTGGAAGACCCATCACAGCCCCGAGTTGTCTTCCCTTTGAGGCACGATATGTAAGTCTTGGCAGCGCTGAGAACGTAATGTGTTGAGTGAGGTTTAAGACAGAGTCTGTTGTATCACTGTGTGTCAGCTTAATGTTAGGGAAAGCCGATTATGACACAGGCCACAGACATTTTTAATTTGGTGAAACCATCGAGAACGTGTTTCTGTTTTGGTCTAACTGTCAGATCAACTGACAGTATTATGAAACATTAACCATTGTTGTACATGTATCAGAAAATACGTTACGTTAGAAGGCACGGCAAGTGTATGCTCAAGTATATACGAATTGGGCACCCAGCACAATAAAGGAAGAATTACAGAAGCGATTATAATTTTGTATTAAATATAAATGATGTAAATGTAGGCGACCACAAATAGTCGACTCCATTGTACAATTGCGACTTTATCATAAGCATGGGTTAGTGAATCACTATAAAAAAAGTAATGATACCAGGTCTCTCCTTCTCTCACGTCAAATTTGGAAATGTCCTCCACATGTCTACTATAAAACTTGGGGAGACTAGCTTATTTGATTACAATATCCCCGTCAGGCCTTTCGTTACGAATATAAGACTACCTGCAGATTGATGTAGAACTATCATTCGGGTCGGTCTTCCAGAAGCCTTGCTGACAAGCGCAGGTACCCGTGACGCCTACAAGAAAATTAATAAATATTAAATTGAAATATTTTCATTTATCCACCCGAACATGTTCTCATGAGTCCTCGGCACCATGCAAAGGCTCACTTAACACTTTAAGAATGATGACAACTTCATAGTTTGGCCTGTGTATCAGCTCTCCGTATTGACCCTTAAAAGAGGGAACATTAAAAGCTTAATATCAAGCCTTGTCTTGAAAGATAACAATTCAACATTTAAACGTCAAGTTGGGAAAATGAAATGCTCAAAACCACAAAACTCGGGGACCTATTCCAAGGGACCGATCGCGACCATTTGATGTTCGTGATTCTGTGTGGAGGTCAGGTGTTCTTTTAAATATTTCTTTCAAGTATCTTCGGGGACAATTTGACGATAAATTCCCAGCAAGTTCCTCATAATATGAACCACTGGTTTGTGAACCCTGACCCGATTATATGCTGGCTGCAGTGATATAGGTTGAATAATGCTAACTGCAGTGTAAAAGAACGAAAAGATAAGTTTTAAGAAACAGAATGTGCTTGGCAGTGTCAACTGACCTTGAATATCCTTGTGATCACTACATCAAGGTACGGTTGTGTTGTGTTGTGTTGTGTTGTGTTGTGTTGTGTTGTGTTGTGTTGTGGTGTGGTGTGGTGTGGTGTGTGTGTGTGTGTGTGGTGTGGTGGTGGTGGTGGTGTGGTGTGGTGTGGTGTGGTGTGGTGTGTGTGTGGTGTGTGTGTGCGTGCGTGTGTGTGGTGTGTGTGTGCGTGCGTGTGTGTGGTGTGTGTGTGATATTGCTGGCATATTGCTAAAAGCGGGGTAAAACCATACTCACTCACTCCCTCACTCACTACAACTAGGTGGAGTACTCTGCACCAGTTGTAGCTGACCATCGGCGTGAGTGAGTTGGGTTTAACGCCACTGTGAACAGTATTTCAGTCACATCACAGCGTGTCAGATATGGATTGGTTGGTTGGTTGGTTTATTGTTTTACGCCGAACTCAGCAATATTCCAGCTATATGACCGCGGTCAGTAAATAATCGAGTCTGGACCAGACAATCCAGTGATTGATATCATGACCATCGATCCACGCAATTGGGATCGATGACATGCATCAACACAGTCAGCGAGCCTGACCGCCCGATCCCGTTAGTCGCCTTTTACGACAAGCATAGTCACCTTTTACGGCAAGCATGGGTTGCTGAAGACCAAGTCTACCCCGTAATCTTCACGTGTCGTATGATGTGGGAGGAAACCCGTAGTGATACATTTCTTGGACGTTTATCACTTTTGTGAACCAACGAGCAAGGGTTGGTGTTTGTTTGCTTGTTGTTTAACGCCGCATTAAGCAATATTCCAGCTATATGACGGCGGTCTGTAAATAATATAGTCTGGAGTATCGATCCACGCAATTGGGATACGATGACATACATCAACCAAGACAGCCAGCCTGATCACCCGATCACGTTACTTGCCTCTTAGGACAATCATAGTCGCCTTTTACGGCAAGCATGGTTGCTGAAGACTGATTCTACCCCGGATCTTCACGGGTCGCAAGGGTTGGTGACAAACCTGGAAACAAAATCAGGGCGAATCTTGGATACAAACACACCAACCCATGATTTATGGACACACCTCCGCACAGCGAGTTGCGATACCTTGGACAAATGGTCCACCCGTGCACCCAACCTGTACCGGAGCTTAGGAGGCATAACTGCGCATGTGTGTATTAGACTTCACATATACTAATGGTATATACATTTGGCATATACAAAAGCAAGTAAACTTTTTTGTTTTCGTTTGCGATTGGATAAAACAATGCTGGAAAGTCTATTGCATATTTTGAAGATCTAGACATGCCCAATCAAACCTTAAAACAATCCAGTGATTGACATCATGAGCATCGATCCACGCAATTTGGATCGATGAAATACTTCTACCAAGTCAGCGGGCCTGGCCACCCGATCCCGTTAGTCGCCTCTTACGACACATGTCAAGTATTGTCGTCTTTTACGGCAAGCATGGGTTGCTCAAGACCTATTTTACTCCGGATCTTCACGTGCCCCATGAGGCACTATGATGAAGTTACATTACAAATGCTACTGAAACGTCTCAGTGTGATTATATTGTAGAAAGTGGCAGTTTGTAAAATGTTCCTGGCCTCATCAGTAAGTTTCAGTGATCCATTCATATAAGTGTCACCGCTGTTTGGTCCTTTGCGCCCAGGGGACACGGGTGGCCCAGTCGTCTAAGGCGCCGCGATTCGCTGTGCAGAGTTGCGTCCCTTGGGCACGCCAGAAACCTATGATTGTTGGTTCGAATCCCGGTTCCCCCGATTATCTTTCTAGGTTTGTCAGCACCATACCCGTGCTCGTGGGTTTCACCGAACTGGTAAACGTCTGAGACCTGCATAATTTCGGGCTTTCCTCCCATATTTAGGCTGACACGCCGTGATATAACTGGAATACTGTTAAAAACGGCGTTAAACCCAACTCACTCACTCACTCATTCCTTTACGCCCGACCCCGCATTGTGTGTCATCTTACATGGAAGGCATGGTTCGTAACTCACAATATCACTGGATTGATTAGTCCAAAGTGGAATGGTTTAAATAGCTGGAATTGTTTTTGAGTGCGGCGTTAAAGAACAAGCAAGCTTTGAAAAAACACTCTTTCCCTATATGTACCACAAGACGCGCTTGTAAAGACAGTCTGAATGTCAGCTGCTTGCGCTGTTGTCAATGGGCACTCTGTGTCCGTCGTAGAAGATGTCTCCAGGCATGTCAGATACTTCGCCAGCGCCCTGAAAAAAACACGATGGACATGACGAACACAAGTTGTGTTTGTTTGTTTGTTGGTTGTTTAACGCCGCACTCAGCAATATTCCAGCTATATGACGGCGGTCTGTAAAATAATCGAGTCTGGACCAGACAATCCAGTGATTGATATCATGAGCATCGATCCACGCAATTGGATGACATGTATCAAGCAAGTCACTGAGCCTGACCACCGGATCCCGTTAGTCGCCTCTTACGACAAGCAAAGTCGCCTTTTACGTCAAGCATGGTCGGTTAAGACCAATTCTACCCCGGATCTTGACGGGTCGATGAATACAAGTGATAACACATGATCTACATAGACTCAGATCTATGTCGGGTCTCTGATAAGTGATGAATTGTTTCTGTCGTTGTAGATTCATAAATCCATTGTTCTGTGACGTTAGTAATATGTAACAAATATTATATTTGGGAAAACGCCTTCTTGGTAAAGTACATATTCTAGTTCTTTATTGCGTTTTTTGGTATGTTTGATGATGTCATCAGGCTCCAACAGACTGTCAACGAATTGAAGATATCGACTGAGTGAGTGGGTTCATTGAATTGTCTGTCCATTTTGACACCTAAGTGATTGAAACGATTCAGGAAAAACATTGCAAATATGTCGACCTTGCTTTCGAAATGTCACGCTTTTATCCCAAGTAGCAAGTTGTCCGACTCTCCATTGTTTTCGGTGACTTAGGTTTGGTACCTCCCAATCTGTTGACTGACATAGGGAGAGAGCCCGGGTTTGCTAGAAGGAATACAGCCCTTCTGACAATCTGGGTAATGCAGGCGGCTGCAGTGTTGGGAATCTTCACATTCTCCGAATAGTTCTGGGTGGGTTTGACTAGGCAGCGCTTCCTGGAAGAAGTCCCATTCGCTGTCTGGGCTGCGTGTAGATGGGGCAAGGGCCCTGAGCTGATGATGAGTCTAACCATCCTGACAGTCCCAGGATCACCCAAACCCTCTTTGTTGCATTTTTTTAAATATTTAATATGTAATAAATAAAAATGTCATATATATTGCACTACATTCCCACACCAGACAGGGGCATGGGCAAAGCGCACAAAAGTTGCAAGACTGGCAATCGTGGTTTGCTCTGAGTTCTACACAGAAGCAACAGCAACGCTGAAAGACCTGGAGTTGAAGGTCTTAAGCTATGATTTTGGAACTTGTAGCAAGAATAGTTGATTTGAAGGAAGCTTTGAGGGAACGGTTTCATGCACTGTTTGAATCGCGAATGAAAGAAGTTTGACAGCAATTGTCTCACGAACTTTAAACTAATGGTGGGACTTCACAACTGGTGTAATAATTGATCTTAATGTAGGCTGTATTTCAGCTATATCGGCGGCTGTATATAAACTAGTGTCCAAAAGAAACGATACCACCTGTTTGCAACGACATAAAAGAAAAACTAAACAATGCAGAAGTTTAAGATTGGTGTTATGCTTTCGAGAAATCCTTTCACAACATCTGTACAAAAATTTCATTTCAATAAAATCTGTACAACCAATATGACAAGCCTTTAAAGACGGGTGGGGTCGAAAAATGAACATTTCGTTAGAGCACTGATCACAGAAACAACGGGAAATGTCACACCACACGTCTCAAAGTCAAGTCAGTAGCGGGTATGTCCACCGTGAGCATCAATACATGCCAGAACACGCCTACGGACTGATGACGTCAAACGTCTGATGACGTTTGGAGTGATGCGTTGCCATTCCTCGAGGAGACATCGTTCCAAGTCCTGGACGTTGACTGGAGGCACACGGCGACGTCGGATTTGCCGATCGAGGTGGTCCCACAAGTGCTCGATGGGATTCATGTCCGGTGAACATGCGGGCCATGGCAAAACCTGTACGTTGGCGTTGGCTAGGAAGTTCTGTGTCAATCTTGCTGTGTGTGGCCTTGCATTGTCATGTTGGAAAAGGAGTCCACGAGGCTGTTGCTGAATAAAGGGCACCACAACAGGCCGTAGGATGTCATCAAGATAACGCTGTGCATTCAGGTTTCCACGAATTACGACAAGCATCGTTTTGACGTCACCACATATGCCACCCCAAACCATTAACCCTCCACCTCCAAACGGCCGGACCTGTTGGATACAGTTAGGCGCCAAACGTTCACCAAATCGTCGGTATACAAGCTGCCGTCCATCGTTTCTGAAGATGAGGAATCTGCTCTCATCAGAGAACATAACACGTGCCCAGTCCCGCCGTTGCCAACGTCGAACTCGCCTGGCCCAGATCAGTCTGTTGTTCCGGTGTCGAGGCGTCAGGAGCGGTCCGCGGTAGGGATGACGTGGCCGGATACCATACTGCCGTAGTCTCCTGTAGACGGTCTGTCGACTGATCCTGTGTCCCAGTGCTGTAGCCGCCGTGGACGTCGCTGTTACGGTGCGGTTCCTCAGGTGTAATACCCGGATGTAACGATCTTCACGGGGCGTGGTTACTCGTGGTCTTCCACTCCTGGGCCTGTCTGACGTCTGACCTGTCTGACGTAACCGCTGCATCAACCTGGTGATAGTGATGCGTGCGCAGCCCAACCTTCAGGCGACGTCGACGTGTGGCGCTCCTTGTTGGACCATTCCAACGGCTCTCTCTCTCTCTCGATGGCTGTCAAACGTGGCATATCTTGTGTTCTTTTTGTTGCTGTGATATCAACGTGTCTGATCAGCCGTTTTATACAGTTTTTATGCACGTGCAGAACATGCTAGAGAGGGAAATGTCACTTTCACGAAATTTACGTTTTCTTCCCGGAAGTGATCACGTGTTCCCGGTATTTTTTATCGACTATGCTGTGTTTGGGATGTGCAATACGAATTGGCATGTTTTCATACTAGACAATTCACTTAGTAAAAAACAATTTTGAAAATAAGTTGGTATCGTTTCTTTTGGACACTAGTTTAGAAGGAAAACTGATGTGATGCAGGTCTTTGAAGTTTACCATTTTGAGTATATGTGTGGTGCTTATAAACCTGGAAACATATTCAGGGGAATCTGATTTCCAATCCGCGATCACAGCTTTCTGGCATGCCCATGGGTGAGTGTGTGTGTATGGTTTTACGCCGCTTTTAGCAATATTCCAGCAATATCACGGCGGGGGACACCAGAAATGGGCTTCACACATTGAACCAATGTCGGGAATCGAACCCGGGTCTTCGGCGTGACGAGCGAACGCTTTAACCACTAGGCTACCCGACCGCCCCATCATGCCTATGGGACGCAACTCTGTTGAGCGAATCGCGGATCCTCAGACGAGTAGGTCACTCTTGCCCTCTTTTGTTTGTAAGATCATTTTGATTTTGTGAAATGATATCACCTAACTTTTCAGCGTACATAGTAGATAGTCTGCATAAAAAGTTTAAATATATGTGGTCACATACTCCACGTTAAAGATAGCCATGCTCAAAGCTCCTGACAAATGCATTATTCCCCGATCAACTGATCAGTGATCAATCATTCTCAGCTCAATGGGGACAATACTTACGTGCATTTGGCTGCATTAACTGTTCCTGAATTTGACTTATCGGTCTCATAAGTTCTTGTGCAGTCCCTGCAGCTAGTCGCCGTTGAATGGGTGGCATACACTAGAAATAGGAAGAAACAACTAATTACTTACAGTTCGTGTCATGGTAAATGGCCAAAGAAGAGGCAAGGTCGGGTCATGTTCACTATTCGCGCTCAAGGTTCTACTACACCAAATCAGAACCAGTTTGGACAGTGCGGTTTTCGTAGGGTTTCGTAGGGTAGCCTTCAGTGTAGATCGAGAGATATCTGCAGGCTGTGATTGGAGCATATTCTGTAAGATCTTTATGTCTTTCAAATGTACATCCATCCAGTTATTAAAACTGACCATGTTTTTCTATATTTAGTACTGTCTTTTTCAACATGATGACTTATGCTGAATGTGACCACAGCTATTTTCAAATAGGTGACATTTGGTGCGAAACTGGGGGTGGTGTGTTTAGCTTCCGGTACTCGGAAAAGGAGCTGACTAAGCTAGTCATTTTTAGTTTTTTTATTGCTGCTCTAAGGCCAAACTGTGCACACACATACAGGTAATAGCTGTTGAATGCTTAGTTATTTTAAAAAAATCATAACGTTACAATAGAAGTCTATGGGAAAACATTTGGTTGTGTGTAACCTCAAGGAATGTGCTAAGGAGCCAATTAAGGATAGTGGCTGAAGAGTGAATGAGTGAATTGGGTTTAATACCGCCGTGCACAGAATTTAAGTTATATCCCGGCGTGTCAGCCTGTTGTAGACGGTAATCAGGTATTAGACAATTACCACATTGGTTAAATCCACGTCCACGGGTCAAGTGATGACAGGCCTAGAAACAGGCCTAATCTGGCATTCCACCCACAATCACACGTTCGCACCCCAAGGGGCGTATATCTGTTCAGGGAATTGTGGCACCTCATACCACAAGCTTTACAAGATCTACACGCGGTTGGATAGCCCAGTGGTTAACGCATTCACTCGTCACGCCGATTTCTGAAACCCGCGTTTAATTCCCTACTTGAGCACAATGTTTGAATCCGATTTCAGATGTCTCTCACCATGATGTTGCTGGAATAATGCAAAATTGGGGTCAAACTCTACTCACGTCAACATGGTTTTTTTGTTTTGGTTTTTTTAAAAACATATTATTCACAAGGAGTGAACGGGATTGGGGGACAAGTTCTTCCAACTTAGAATGCCCTCTCCCTGGTATTTACAAAAAAATCACAATTTCAAATTCAATATATATGCATAAAACATAAAACACTATAGATGAGAGAGAGAGAAAGAGAGAGAGAGAGAGAGAGAGAGAGAGAGAGAGAGAGAGAGCGAGCGAGAGAGAGAGAGAGCGAGAGAGAGAGAGAGAGAGAGAGAGAGAGAGAGAGATTGTTGAATGAACAGTTCTTTACACAAATCTTTTGGTTGTACATATATAAGTTGTACTGCCTTAAATATAGCTTTATTTTCTGTAGCAACGTGATCTGCATTGCCGTATAACAGTAAGTGTACATCAACAGGTATGTTATGAACAATATTTTTAAGGCTGTTTAACATAATTTCACGCTGATGACTAAGCAATGGACATTCCATGAGATAATGATATACATTTTCACATGTATTCGACCATGTACAGTTCGAGTGATCTTTTATACCAATTCTATATAAATCATAATTCAACTGACTGCACATGTATCTCAATTTTGTGTGTAAGATATTATATTTTCTGTTTCCATAAGCGAAGTACGCAGGTGACGTGGGGTGGTGCTTTTGTAACGACTTTTTAAAACAAGAAATCGTAGAATTTCGATCTGATAACGGAATAGAGTTCCACAATCGGATAGACGATGGGTAAAAGGATTCACACGAATGTCTTAGTCTTGTGAGAGGAACACTGATGTTTTCAGAGTTTCTGAGACTGTACGAGTTTTTTGCAGCAACGTCAACATGTCCCTCACGTGTCTACCAAAAAGCCATTTGAAAGCTTTAACGAGGCATTGGGTGTTGTAGCCTGGATCAAACAACTTTTGAGCAATATAATATAAAATATACTCCAGTGAAATTCCTCTTTTTTAAAAAACTCTAATAACATCTTTTAAATATCTGGTTACATCAATAAAGATAGTAGATCTTGCTGCAATGTGTCTCATAAGACAAGACCAAATCACTGAATTTGACACCCGATCCAAAATATGTCACCCCTTACCAGTACCTGTAGAGCAACAGAATACAAATAAAGACAATGAAAAAACAGACAATGATACAAGATACAAGAATATTTATATAACGTCGGTTTGGGTATAAAAGATCGACATTAACTCGTAAGAGCTTCCCACTAGCATGAAAACATGAACATGGTCAGAGAATGTGTAGGAGAAAAAGAGTGGATAAGACAGAATGAATAAGAATGACATAACATGAAACAATAGGCAATGAAAGCCGTGGGGGACGGCACGGAACCTACCCAGGAGGAGAACCACAACGTTCAGCCGCATCTTGCCAGTCTCCTCTCCTGGTTTCACAGCAAACTTTCAGAGTTTTAGAAACTGTGACTGGAAGCCCCGACGTTGTGTGATCGAATAAACAAATATTGACATGCGTTTCCACAACAAATAAGTTGTATGTCACAATAAGAAAGACGTTTCGAGGGGAGCAATTAGTAGTATTGAAAGACCAATATTATATATTATAATACCATGGTTAATTACAGAGGTATCTGTCTGGGCATGAAGCGACAATCAACAAAGATTGAATTACGTCTTTATCTTTGCTTGACTAGGCATTGTTTGACACTACCTATTAAGTTACCAGGTTACAAAGTACACACATGTCCTTTAATGCAATATGCTTCTCTGATTATATTTGTGTGTAGTGTTTGTGGAGTGAATGCATCTAATTTCTGATAACAAAAGGTGGTCATTGAAGCAAAGCACTGTGTTTGAGAGTCTGCTATTTGACAATCTTATTAACTATCTCCATGTATTATAATTCAATTTCAATCTATCTTGAATGTGTATATGTTAGCGGGAATGTCCTAAGTATTATGCGGAATATTATTCATAGCTGTCCAAATCAGGTTTACAAGGTTCCATGGATCCCGGGCTATTTTGGTCTGGGATATCTGTCCTTCAAACACATAATTATTTTATTTTTTTTTGTTTTTTATGTTGTTTAACGCCACACTCAGCAGTATTCCAGCTATATGGCGGCGGTCTGTGAAAAATCGAGTCTGGACCAGACAATCCAGTGATTAACATCATGAGCATCGATCCACGCAACTGGGATATGAAGTCAGTGAGCCTGGCCACCCGATCCCGTTAGTCGCCTCTTACGACAAGCATAGTCGCCTTTTACGGCAAGAATGGGTTGCTGAAGACCTATTCTACCCCGGATCTTCACGGGTCCAAACACAGAAGTCCATCAGTGGGCCCACAACACTTTACGCCGAGTTCCCAATACTGTGGGACCCCTGAAGATCCGGGGAGAAAACAGTTTGTTTGCTCTAAGGGGCGACTATGTTTGGCGTAAGAGGCGACTAAAGGGATCGGGTGGTCAGGCTCGCTGACTTAGTTGTCATCGTATCCCAATTCAATCACTGGATTGTCTGGTCCAGACTCGATTATTTACAGACCGCCGTCCTATTGCTGGAACATTGCTGAGTGCGGCGTTAAACAACAAACATATTCAACAAGACAGAAGTAGAGCAATCACTCGGCGGCATCTTGGAGGCGATCGTCAGCCACCCTGCTTATCTGCGGTTCCGAGGGACAGGTCCCGACTAACAGAAAGCGTACTGTATTTATCCCTCAGGTGAATCACTGTCAGACTGCCAGGTATCATGCCACGTTACATGTACAGTCAGCCTGCAGTATCCAGCACCTCATCTGCAATGGTTGGTTGGTTGGTTGGTTTGTTGTTTAACGCCGCAACCAGCAATATTCCAGCTATAGGACGGCGGTCTGTAAATAATCGAGTCTGGACCAGACAATCCAGTGAATGACATCATGAGCATCGATCCACGCAATTGGGATCGATGACATGTATCAACCAAGTCAGCGAGCCCGACCACCCGATCCTGTTAGTCGCCTTTTACGACAAGCATAGTCGCCTTTTACGGCAAGCATGGGTTCATCCGCAATGTGAAGGTTAATCACAACGAAATGATTTCCCATAGATTTCTATAGTTGCGTAATACTAGTTTTTCTTTTTAAAATAACTAAAAATTCAAGAGCGTTTACATGTACATGTGTGCACAGTCTGGCCTTAAAGCAGCAATAGAAAACTAAAAAACCTGACTAGCTCAGCCAGCTCCTTTTCCGAGTACAGGAAGCTGAACACACCACCCCCAGTTCCGCACCAAATGTCACTTGCTTGAAAATATCTGTGGATGCATTCAACATAAGATGTCATTTTTTAAAATACAGCACTTCCTATAGATTACTGGATGGATGTACATTTAAAAAAACATAAAAATCTTACACAACATCATCCAATCACAGCTGCCAGATGACGCAATCTTCACTGAAGGCTCTCCGAAAACTGCTTGTCGAAATACTGATTCTGATTTGGTGTAAGGCTTCAGTGGCCAACCGGCCATTCTCTTTTACGTTAATATCCGGCAGATGCCCTGCGCATAACACCATGATATTAATGGTCTAGCTGTAATCTAATTTGTATTGACACTTTGAATATTTAGATAGATATTAAACTTACTAAACTCAGGGAATATATAACTAATTAAACCTTTTTTTATATCTAATAGAAACCTCTGCGGAAAGCGTAGTCTATACGACGATTCCGACCTTATCATGAGCATGTGTTTATGAATCATGAATCATGTATGATGATACCAAGTATTCGTGAAAAGGTGAGCGTATCCTGCACACGTCACAAACACATGCAAAGACAAGTCAATTGTTCACCTGAAAAAAAAACAACTGCTAAACATCCAAGTGGAAAGTAAAATGTTATTTATAGAAACTAGCCAGATTTCATCAACAGACAAAAAACTTGTCACATTGATATCTGCATGCAGTAATATGCTGCCTGGTTGTGTATGCGGTTCATATGCGGCCTATAAGTATTGACAGTATTGTACTTAATACAAGAAAATCCTAGTGTTGTATACATCATTCATCATCAGGACCAGACCTTTTCAGCCATTTTCGGCCGTACGTAATCAATGGGAGATTGCGGAGCGTGGTGTATATGCAAACCTATGAAGTATTGACGGTGAGATATTAATTGCAATACAAAATACAACATGAGTAAATACCATGAATTTTATGACCGCAAGGTCATGGTTTCAGTCCAGTGAGTTGAGTGGAAAGACGGTCTGATTTTAGGAAGCACCGATTATGGACTCTAAACAAATTAAATATGGTTCTTTATATACTCGAAGAGTGCTTTACATCAATAGTATGAAGTGTGCACCACTAATGAAACTGAAGCCAGCCTTGCAAAGTTAATTCTACATCGCTCACCGCTATCATCACCGTGACACAAGAGACGTCACGTCACGGTCGGCTTCAGAAGCGCCAAATTCAATGCTTTCTGTTGTCCCTGAAACGTTAATACACCGAGTTGTCGTTTTACATGGATTATCTGCCCGAAACGTATTAACTCACATACTTCAAACATTGTTATATTTTTGGCCCTGAGTTTTGTTGCCCATAATCGTACATATCATTATTTCAAATATTTTCCAACAATGTTTTAGAAGGAAGTACTTTCGTAAAGTATTTGCTTCCTCCGAAACGCGACCGTCAAGGAGTGAATTTGGTTTCGTCTTTGAGTAGTATTTCAGTTGTCAGCTTGATGTGGGAGTATTTCTGTTATACCACGGTTGTCAGCTTGATGTGAGGGTATTTCAGTTACATCACGGTATGTCGGACTCATGTGGGAGTATTTCAGTTATATCTATATACCACGGTTGTCAGCTTGATGTGTAGGTATTTCAGTTATATCACGGTATGTCGGACTCATGTGGGAGTATTTCAGTTATACCACGGTTGTCAGCTTGATGTGAGGGTATTTCAGTTACATCACGGTATGTCGGACTCATGTGGGAGTATTTCAGTTATATCTATATACCACGGTTGCCAGCTTGATGTGTAGGTATTTCAGTTATTTCACGGCATGTCGGACTCATGTGGGAATATTTCAGTTATATCACGGTTGTCAGCTTGATGTGTGAGTATTTCAGTTATACCACGGTTGTCAGCTTGATGTGAGGGTATTTCAGTTATATCACGGTATGTCGGACTCATGCTGGAGTATTTCAGTTATACCACGGTTGTCAGCTTGATGTGGGAGTATTTCAGTTAAACCATGGTTGTCAGCTTGATGTGTAGGTATTTCAGTTATATCACGGTATGTCGGACTCATGTGGGAGTATTTCAGTTATACCACGGTTGTCAGCTTGATGTGAGGGTATTTCAGTTACATCACGGTATGTCGGACTCATGTGGGAGTATTTCAGTTATATCTATATACCACGGTTGCCAGCTTGATGTGTAGGTATTTCAGTTATTTCACGGCATGTCGGACTCATGTGGGAATATTTCAGTTATATCACGGTTGTCAGCTTGATGTGAGGGTATTTCAGTTATATCACGGTATGTCGGACTCATGTGGGAGTATTTCAGTTATACCACGGTTGTCAGCTGGAGGTGGGAGTATTTCAGATATATCACGGTTGTCACCTTGATGTGTGGGTATTTCAGTTATATCACGGTGGTCAGCTTGATGTGTGAGTATTTCAGGTATATCATGGTTGTCAGCCTGATGTGAGGGTATTTCAGATATATCACGGTTGTCAGCTTGATGTCGGGGTATTTCAGATATATCACGGTTGTCAGCTTGATGTTTGGGTATTTCAGGTATATCATGGTTGTCAGCCTCATGTGGGAGTATTTCAGTTATATCACGGTTGTCAGCTTGATGTGCGGGTATTTCAGTTATACTACGGTTGTCAGCCTGATGTGAGGGTATTTCAGATATATCACGGTTGTCAGCTTGATGTCGGGGTATTTCAGATATATCACGGTTGTCAGCTTGATGTGTGGGTATTTCAGGTATATCATGGTTGTCAGCCTGATGTGGGAGTATTTTAGTTATATCACGGTTGTCAGCTTGATGTGAGGGTATTTCAGTTATATCACGGTATGTCGGACTCATGTGGGAGTATTTCAGTTATACCACGGTTGTCAGCTGGAGGTGGGAGTATTTCAGATATATCACGGTTGTCACCTTGATGTGTGGGTATTTCAGTTATATCACGGTGGTCAGCTTGATGTGTGAGTATTTCAGGTATATCATGGTTGTCAGCCTGATGTGAGGGTATTTCAGATATATCACGGTTGTCAGCTTGATGTCGGGGTATTTCAGATATATCACGGTTGTCAGCTTGATGTTTGGGTATTTCAGGTATATCATGGTTGTCAGCCTCATGTGGGAGTATTTCAGTTATATCACGGTTGTCAGCTTGATGTGCGGGTATTTCAGTTATACTACGGTTGTCAGCCTGATGTGAGGGTATTTCAGATATATCACGGTTGTCAGCTTGATGTCGGGGTATTTCAGATATATCACGGTTGTCAGCTTGATGTGTGGGTATTTCAGGTATATCATGGTTGTCAGCCTGATGTGGGAGTATTTTAGTTATATCACGGTTGTCAGCTTGATGTGCGGGTATTTCAGTTATACTACGGTTGTCAGCCTGATGTGAGGGTATTTCAGATATATCACGGTTGTCAGCTTGATGTCGGGGTATTTCAGATATATCACGGTTGTCAGCTTGATGTGTGGGTATTTCAGGTATATCATGGTTGTCAGCCTGATGTGGGAGTATTTCAGTTATATCACGGTTGTCAGCTTGATGTGCGGGTATTTCAGTTATACTACGGTTGTCAGCCTGATGTGAGGGTATTTCAGATATATCACGGTTGTCAGCTTGATGTCGGGGTATTTCAGATATATCACGGTTGTCAGCTTGATGTGTGGGTATTTCAGGTATATCATGGTTGTCAGCCTGATGTGGGAGTATTTCAGTTATATCACGGTTGTCAGCTTGATGTGCGGGTATTTCAGTTATACTACGGTTGTCAGCCTGATGTGAGGGTATTTCAGATATATCACGGTTGTCAGCTTGATGTCGGGGTATTTCAGATATATCACGGTTGTCAGCTTGATGTCGGGGTATTTCAGGTATATCACGGTTGTCAGCTTCCTGTGAGGGTATTCCAGTTATATCAATGCGTGTTAGACTGACGTGGGAGTATTTCAGGTATATCACGGTTGTCAGGTTCATGTTGGGGTGGGGCGGTCGGGTAGCCTAGTGGTTGAAGCGTTCGCTCGTCACGCCGAAGACCCGGGTTCGATTCTCGGCATGGGTACAATGTGTGAAGCCCATTTCTGGTGTCCCCCGCCGTGATATTGCTGGAATATTGCTAAAAGCGGCGTAAAACCATACTCACTCACTCATGTTGGGGTATTTCAGTTATATCACGGCGTGTCAGAATGACGTGGGAATATTTCTGTTGGGTCAAACTCGTGAGCATGGGGAATAGTGACGAAAAATTTAATTTAGGAATAACATATTTAGGAATACCCGGGATTCGAACCCACGACCACAGGATTGTACACATAAGGCACGCCAGTCTTCACACCGACTTGTTTAGCCTTAGACTACTGTGCCACCTAAGTAGGGTTCATCAATATCACAGTGGGGAAGACACCAGAAATGGGCTTCACATATTGCCAACGTTTCAACTACGTTTTGAATTCATATTTTTGTTGCATTTTGTTGTTTGAATGTTGAAAGTAATGTGCGATACAACTTGCATATGTATGAAATTGATGTGTTATAAGAACTGTCCCTAATATATGACACGAATAGAGTTTATCACGCATGTATGCTATGGAGTGAAAAACTCATGTATTAGGAATGAACAGTGTTGTGAGCATTGGTTAGCTTACAACATAGTGAAAACAGGATATTTACCATCCACAAACCACAGTCCTGACAACCCCCTTATATCATTCTTAAATTCTATCATCGAAAGCGTATTCTCATCTCTCACAAACGGTGAGGGTATTCTTAGAATGTGCGTATTAATACATTACGTCACATGGTGAGTGAGACGGACATCGACAAGAGGCAATGTAGTTCCAACTGAAACTTTTAGTTAGATAATGATATTCTATGCTTATTAAATTTATAATGATAACAAAGACGTTATGTTTTAATGACCGTTTGGCAATTTCGGGACAGGCTGGTGTGGGACTTGGGTGGTAGCTGGGTAAACGATGTTATCCGTCAGCCCCATTAATCAGAACCAAGAACGACTTCCTACGCGAGCTGTGATTTATTATCCCAGATATTTGTCCGGATCACCGATGGTCGATTCTGACATTTTGATACCATGGTGTTTACAAACAATCTACGATAAAAAGGGTCCTGGGCAATTGTTGTCAATTCAGAAATAATACCCTAATATACCGACAATGAGTGTCTGACAGGGGCATTTCACATGTGTAGGCAACTTTGGAGATATAAATTGCGAAGAAATTTAGCGAGGAAGGGATATCAGTTCCTATGCCTCTTATGTAGGCCCCTGGACTTAAGATATTTCCTGAATTAACATGTTAGATTTGCCCGGAATATGTCCGCAATTTTACCTTCTTTCATTTGGTTTTTGATAATATCTGACTGCATGTTGTAACCCGTTACGAAACTTTTGCCAGGCCTGACTGGCTTTAACAAATGTGACGTTCTATGGACTAGAGTAGCTTCCCTTTGATAAGGGGGCAGTACTCTAGCGGTTCGGGACCGATGGATTGCCGCGAAAGGCGATCACTGACAAAGTTGAAAGATTATATGTAGGCAACTGTCATTTTGCCTGTATGGTAGTTACGCCACTGTCTAAACGACAAGTTTCAGTTGAAAATATATTGACTGTTGTCATTGTCCGAATGACTAGTCACTGACATTGTGACGTAATATATTAATCTGCACATTCCAGGAATGTTAGATGCCGTTTTTGAGAGATGATACTATATATGATACAGAGGTCATATATGATAAAGAGGTGTTTGGAGAAGGGTAATCATGTAATAGGAATACTCACAATGTATTCATGATTTTTTCATTCCTGATACAGAATATTTACCATCCTAAAATACACTCGCGTGATAACGGATATTTACACTGATTTATATGACCTTTTTAAGTCCCTCTGATTGTTTATAAGTGTAATGAGTGAGAGCACGTTTACTTGGCTGATATATATTACTCAAAATATATAAAAGTACACCCGATTCTTTCATTTGACAATAATCAATCTGTCATGCCTCGTGGATATTGCAACACACAGCCTTCAATTGTGGGTGTTCTTTAACCTGTTTTGAGAAGTATACAATGCAGATTGTGACATGATTTTCTTGTGAAGAAACTAATAATAAACACAGATTGTTCGTGAACAGTACCGTTTATTTCTGTGGAATAACCAACGTGTACCGTCAGTAACTCAACACGTCATTAAGGTACAGAACACGGGAGTTGAATCTTCCAAGAAGCCAACAGTTCATAATTCCGTGAGCCAAGAGTGTCAAACATTGGTAAAACTAGAAAAGTATTACCAGAGCTGTCCCGAATCTTGAATAAAAAGCAATACACTTGATGGGAATTCAGCGCTCATCGTTTGCAAGACCACAAATTGTTTGTCAGTGGTAACAATTGCTTGATCCCACGTCATACACAGCGGTCATGCAGTCACTTTTTGGTGGTTTTGAATATATTTTGGAGAATGTATGGTTACTTGAATGGGTCAACTCGTCTAACAATGCAACGTCAACATAAATGAAGGTGTAGAAACGATAAAAGTATCAAAAATATAAAATGGGATCATCACTTCACGGGCTAACGTCACGGGCTCACTTCCAGGCTTGTGTACATGGCGTTCCATCAGATGGGGAAACGGAGCCCTGGTTAGTTGCAAACATCTTGTTGAAAGTGTCCAGATGAAGCAGGCATCAAACTTTATAATAGGAACAGAGGGTTGAATATGATAGCACGCTAACAGTCAAACCTTGACGGACTTTGTTTAAAGAATAATGCTAGCAAGACCTGACACGAACAAAGACGTCATCGCAATGGTCACGTATGCAGCACTGCTACCTGAAAAACGAAAAAAGGTAGCATTGATCATCATTGCAAAGTGAGCAAGTGAGCAACATAATCTACTAATCAAGGCGAGTCTGGGATTCGAACCCATAGTTATAGGATCCTCGTCCGCAGCTAATTATACGACATTGATGCAGGGCTATGACGTAATGTTCACAGAGATACTTACACGCTGCGGTTGTTATTTTGGCAGCAGTGTCAGTGGCGAGGGCGGCCTGGGCCAAAGCAGAGGTACACCCGGCCTCAGTTACAGTTGTTATCGCACTAAGGCATGTCTTCAAAGTCATCAGCACACTGTAGAAAGCAAATGGCATTATCATACAAACTGTCCACAAGATCTGGAACTAGTGACACCAGTTGGAAACTCCAGGCAGAATATAATCCATGTTCTCCATGGTTAACGTAAGAGTCGCAGAAACATATTACTGACGTTCCTCAGAGATACCTTGGAACCCGTGAAGATCTGGGTTAGAATATGTCTTCAGCAACCCATGCGTGCTGTAAAAGGCGACTATGTTTGTTGCAAGAGGCTACTAACGGGATCGGGAGGTCAGGCTCGCTGACCTGGTTGATGCATGTCATCGTATCCCAATTGCGAAGAACTATGCTCATGATGTCAATAACTGGATTGTCTGGTCCAGATTCGATTATTTACAGACCGCCGTCATATAGCTGGAATATTGCTGAGCACGGCGTTAAACAACAAACAAACAAACAAACAAACAGAGTTATCTTGGCGTTACGACGTCTTAACTTATGATTTGATCTGCGATTGACGGTCGCTTTGAGGAACGCGGTCCAAGGTGTCCTGGCAGGAGAACAACACAGCAGGCACTGACAAATGGTAAATCTGACTCCGGTACCACATTACCAAATTTAGTATTTATTTTCTCAACAGATGATGCAGCTATCCACAACAACATTGTTTCCGTTGTCTCTGTCCTCGACAAAGGCACATTCAATTATAATGTGCCAGGTCCTTCATCGAGGACCATAGGTGTATTCAAAATGCCCTTTCGTGTTTTACGATGTGAATCAAATCGGACAATATTTTTAAAAAAATGAAAGCAAATGTCATCTTTCAATGTGTGAAATGCTGGACTCCCTATGTACAGTCTGGGGACAGCACATAGGGCAAGACGTAGACATCCCAAGTAGCACCAACTGTGCTCCCTCCTTGGTCATCTGTGTCTTTATGCATATGCATCGGACTTTCTGCTCGAATTGGCAAAATCAATTTGGACAAGAGGTTTAACTTAAGCTTCGGGAAAGTCGACGACCTGATACCGTTCAATAATTATATACGAGCCACGTTCCATTCACTGATTCCCCACCGGGGCTAGAAATAGAAGAGGCCAATGAAACCTTTCATAGTCATAGTCGTAGTCGTAGTCATAGTCATAGTCGTAGTCGTAGTCGTAGTCGTAGTCATAGTCAACTTTCCCTTCATGTCAAATACCATTCCAGCACCTCCAGTTCTTGTTGCACAAATTTCACAGATTTTGAGGATCAATTGAAAATGCTATTTCTATGATAGCAAAGAGCATCATACGATTCTTGCTCAAAAGTAGTTTGAAAAGCGTTACAACATTCAATGCCTCAGTGAATCCTTCAAAATGTTCATGTAGGACATGTGACAAAAATTATATCCGGTTCTCTATGTTTACTTATACCATATGTTCCCATGTTTCTTCAGGTGAACACTTGAGGTGGCTGTACAGATGTTTGAACGGGTGCTACCAGTGGAGCAAAATACGAACACGTTTTCCTATTTGACACTGATGTTTTACCACTTGCTGATGATATAGTCGGAATCGTACAAAGGACACTTTAAGTTTATGGGAACGGTTTTGTCTCATTTTATTCATGAATGGGGAAGTAATCTTCCGAGTCCGTGTTATAAATTTATTATCGACCATTGGATAATCGCCAATCTCATTAATATCAGATCTTAGTTCTCGCTACCGCTAAACAAAGATCTTTGTTCAGCGGTAGCGAGAACTAAGGTCTGATTTTAATGAGATTGGATAACCGCCGACCGCGTCATACCAAAAGACGTTAAAGGTGAGGTGAAATTGGGTTTAACGTCGCGTCCAAGATTATTGCACTTATATAGCGACATGTATGCACGTGTGTGTGTGTGTGTGGCTGCTTGTACTAGTCCGGACTGATGCCGATTTATAGTGTTAGCTCACTGAGATACCATGCCGCAGTTTGACATGAATACCCAACTCAGACACAGTATACTGACTCCGAGCCGACCAGTCCTTGTTTTAGCCCCTTAATGTCGAGCGCCAGACAGGGTAAAAACAATTACCATCTTTTAACGTCTTTTGGTATGACGCGGCCGGGCATCGAACCCCGGACCTTCCGCTCTCCGGGCGGACGCTCTACCACAGGACCACGGAGGCGGCACAAAAGACGTTAAAAGATTACACTTGTTGTTAACCTGTCGGCGCTCGGCGCTCGGCACCCGGCATTAAGGGGCTGGTCGGCTCGGAGTTGGTACACTGTGTCTGAGGGGGGTATTCATGTTAAACTGCGGCATGGTATCTCTCTCTCATTCACACACACACGCGTGCGCACACACACACACACACACGTGCATGCATGTAGGTATATAAGTGCAATAATCTTGGACGCGACGTTAAACTCCATTTCACCTCACCTGCACATTAACATGTACATTTAGCGTAGATGCTACTGATGACAATTCGAGCGAGTCGCCTGCGGTCCGGTGTTAAATAGCATGACGTGTTAGCACACTGGAAACTAACTAATCCACGGTGCCTACTCACGTGCAGAATTTGGCGTCGGTATCGGCGTCTCCTTTGGCGGCGTCAACCTCGCACTGACACGAAGCAGTCAGAGCTGTAAACATTAAGAAGCTGTTAAATCGTTGCTCTGCGATAAATTCTAATTCCAACTGGCTCAATCAGAGGTTACAGTTGAAAATATAATTTTTCATCCAAATCTGGCTCCAACAGGAAATATCGCTTGAGTGAGATCAAGCGATATCTCACTCTCCTACCCAGAGTTCCATGCGGCCGGCAGCCAGCTAGCATAGTACCTCTGCCACAGGCCAGCGCCATGTGACGATTCGTCACATCTTTCACAGTCCATTCGAGATATTGCATATGCTTTTCATCCGTTTCATGTTTTACAAGTCTACACATTTTCATAAACAAATGTCAAAGAATGGTTAACTTTCATTGAGAAAGTATGCAAATACGTAAAAATCTACTTGTTTTTGCGTAGTTATCCTATGTTTACATTGGTTGTACGGCTCCACGTGCTGTCATCGAAGCCCAACGGAGAGCTAGCGACACGGTCACTTTGATGCATAAATATATATTGTCATGCAACTCACTGTCGCAGTTGTAGTAGCATATCTATATAGTTATGCAAAACAATATGTAAAGCGCCCCCAAATACTTGCATTAGTCCGTTCTATACTGATTTCTGAAAAAGCGCGTTTGTTTACAAACAAGAGAAAAGTCCGGTCACGTGATATGCAAATTAGCCTGTGGCAGTGGTGTTATGCTGAGTCACCACTGCGACGGAGTGTGTTATGACTCTGCTACTGAAGCTGTTAGCACTACTTTCTACACTTAAGACACTGCTTGTTACTGTGAACAAACTGAAAAAGTTGGAAGAATGATATTGAATGATAAATGAAGTCTCACCCGAGTGTCTTTTTATATCAAATATATCAACACTCGTTGATATAAAACTCGTGTTGATATATTTGATATCAAAAGACATTGGGGTGAGATTCCCTATGTCTTTAATGTTACAGAGCTATTATTTATTATACCACTCGATCAACGATCACAGGTTTCTGGCGCGCCCAAAGGACGTTATTTTACACTGGACACTAAGCCACCCGAGGCCCCCTCGAATGAACTACGGAGCATGATCTTTTGTGACAAGACAGCTTTACCTCAGTGAGTATGGTTTTACGCCGCTTGTAGCAATATTCCAGCAATATCACGGCGAGGGACACCCGAAATGGGCTTCACACCTTGTATCCATGTGGAGAATCGAACCCGGGCCTTCAGCGTGACGAGTTAACACTTTACCCAATGGGCTACCCCACCACCCTTTACCTCAGTGGAACTTGGTACCTACCTGGGCAGTCGCCCACGGGCAACGTTGCTCGTGCAGTTTCTGAAGTCATCGCTACTGCGCTTTTGGTGGTTGTGCCGTCACAGCCTGCTGATTTTGAAGTTCTCAGGCAGCTCAGCTGATCTTTGTGAGCACTGTAGAAAACCATTAAAATGATACACAAATCTGTAAATAAAGCTGGATTTTGGAGGATCGATAAAGGACACGCTAAAGCACAAAACAGCTAGTGGCTCAGTTTAATTAAGATACGCAAATGTACCCACTGTTCTGCTGTATGTCATGGGAACATCTCGATACCCCTGTGAAGATCCGGGTTAGAATTGGTCTTCAGCAACCCATGCTTGTCGTTAGAGGCGACTAACCAAATGAAATTGTTTGATGCATGTCATCGTGTCCTAGTTGCGACGATCGATGCTAATGATGTCAATCACTGGATTGTCTGGTCCAGATTCGATTATTTACAGACCGCCGTCATATAGCTGGAATATTGCTGAGCGCGGCGTTAAACAACAAACAAACAAACAAACAATCACTGCGTTTGTGTTTCAGAGCTTATGACTACCAAACTTATGATACAGACCGCCGTCTTATAGTTGGAATATTGCGGCGTTCAACAACAAACAAAACAAGGACATCTCGTTGAGACATCCCCTGATTACTAACCGATCACTGTGTTGGTTTTAACACAGCTTTGAATTGTGTATCCCTTCATATCGCGGCATGTCAGCTTAATGTGTGATGAAAGTCGGAAGTGATGCAGGTCTCAGACGTTTACCACTTTGGTGAAACCCAGGCGAACGGGCTTGGTGCTGATAAACCAAGAAACAAAATCGGGGCGAACCTGAATTCGAACCCACGACCAAGGGTTTCTGGCGTGTGCAAGGGACGCTACTCTGCACAGCGAATTGCGGCGCCTCCGACGACCGAACCACCCTTGCCACCTCACAGACAAAGAATGGGAATGGTGCGGATAAGAGCGCCCTCGGACATGCAACAGGCAGTATCGCTGGAGAACTCCAACGGCGAGTGAGTGAGTTTGGTTTTACGCCGCTTTTAGCAATAGTCCAGTAATGGGTTTCACACATTGTACCCATGTCGGGAATCGAAACCGGGTCTTCGGCGTGACGAACTAACACTTTAACCACTAGGTACCCGACGGCCCCTCGAGACGGAATAGAGTATATTTAATACTAATATTAATGACGGTTGTATATTCCCAGTGACTGTACGGTGTACGGAAAAGGGATATAAAGCACAGAAGTGATGTGGTTGGTTTCTTTAAAAAAGTGAGGGGGCACGGGTGGCCCAGTCGTCTGAGGCGCCGCGATTCGCTGTGCAGAGTTGCGTCCCTTGGACATGCCAGAAACCTATGATTGTGGGTTCGAATCCCGGTTCGCCCCGATTATGTTTCTAGGTTTGTCAGCACCATACCCGTGCTCGTGGGTTTCACCGAAGTGGTAAACGTCTGAGACCTGCATCACTTCGGGCTTTCCTCCCACATTAAGCTGACACGTCGTGATATAACTGGAATACTGTTAAAAGCGGCGTTAAACCGAACTCACTCACTCACTCTTTAAAAAGTGAAACTGGACAAACTAGGTATCCATGGTCACCATCAAAATACGTTGTCCACATTAGGATAATGTAGCTCTTATGTTCTGGTATACCCTGAACGGATTTATCATATATTATCATTCACGTTTAATCACCAGTAACCCGACGAATTGTCAATGACTCGTTGTTAGACTGCCTGGGATATCAGAATAGACCACTTACGTGCATTTGTCGGCGTCAGTTGTTTTTGTGGCGGCGTCGTATACTCTTTGACACAAACACGTGTCGTCAAATGCTGTGAAATGGCGAGGAGAGAACACACACATATAAGTTCAGTAAAATTGAGTGTACAACGGATTGTTACAGCCATGAAGCATTGGAAACATGACATGCATTTATAAAAAAATGAAATACAGAAATATTATTGAAAGAAAATCACAGATAAAAAAATGGACAAACCCACTACACCAAGGGCGGATCTTGCATTTGTAAAAGAGAGGGGTCGACAATATCAAAATCCTCTCTCAGGTAATTTTACTGCCTACAACGGACCGCTTGGACCTCTCTCTGGATCTCACTCAGCAATATTCCAGCTATATGACGGCGGTCTGTAAAAAATCGAATCTGCACCAGACAATCCAGTGATTGACATTATGAGCATCGATCCACGCAATCGGGATACGATGACATGCATCAACCAAGTCAGCGAGCCTGACCCCCCGATCCCGTTAATCGCCTCTTACGACAAGCATACTCGCTCACACATTGTACCCATGTCGGGAATCGAACCTGGGTCTTCGGCGTGACGACCGAACGCTTTAACCACTTGGCTACCCGACAGCCCCTCTCGTCATTACAGCCGACTACAATTGTAATCGGTTGGTCAAGCAGACCTGTCAACCAACGTGTCGTCATAACATCGTGACGTGCGTCGTTGCATGTGGTATCATGGTTTTCAATGTCCAGAATCGACCTCTGAAAAGCCGCCTTGACCATTGCTAACTGTGGCGTTACAAAACACTCACTCACTCAATCCCACGTGATACTCCAACTATGTTCTGGGATTTAGGAAAATACAGTAATATCTTCCCCAAAATGCTCTAAAAACAATTTGTCCTCATGTTTTACAAAAATATATAAATTGTTCACTTGAGATGTTGTATGTTTCTAAAGACATGGTGTTATGGTCTCAAACAGTTTTTCTTGGACACTTAAATGCAGTTGAGTGAGTGAGTGAGTATAGTTTTACGCCGCTTTTAGCAATATTCCAGCATATCACGGCGGGGGACACCAGAAATAGGCTTCACACATTGTACCCATGTCGGGAATCGAACCCGGGTCTTTGGCGTGACGAGCGAACGCTTAAACCACTAGGCTACCCGACCGCCCCTTAATGCAGTTGAAGAGGTTGTCTTTCAATACCTACCGCATGATGTGGCTCCCGTTACAGATGCTGCTGCAGATGTCTGTAGAGTGGTGATGGTAGTTCCTGCATCACATGGAGCCGTGGCCAGAGAGTACACACAGGCATACTGGGCCTTGTAAGCTCTGAAACACCAACGCAGTGATTGTTTGTTTTGTTTGTCTGTTGTTTAACGCCACATTCAGCAATATTCAAGCTATATGACGTCGGTCTGTAAATAATCGAGTCTGGACCAGACGATCCAGTGATTGACAACATGATCATCGATCTACGTAATAGGGATACGATGACATGCATCAACCAAGTCAGCGAGCCTAACCCCCCGATCCCGTTAGTCACCTTTTCCAGCAAGCATGGGTTGCTGGAGGCCTATTCTACCGCGGATCTTCACGTTTCACGAAATCACTGAGCAAGTGACACACCCAAACGTGGGCAGCTAGTGGGTGAACATCCTACAAATGTGCAACTTGTGAACAGAATGTATAGCCTCAAGTAGAGGCGTGTTTGCATGATAGGGAACTAGCTCAGATGATATACCTTTACGATCTCGAGATATTTTCAACTTAACACTTAATACCCTATATCCATTCAGTGACAAGCACAACTTGTCATGACGTCAGTGCTTATCGAATCAAAGCATTTCCGTGCACTGATATACGTTCATCAGCTGATAGCATTCGTCACCACTCGCCTCTTTCCGTAACCTGCAAGAAGGCTCGTCCCCCTATCGATGAATGTTATGTGCGAAAATACGACAAACCAATCAGAATGCGCGTATGGTTTCAAGTTCTTCGTCAAAGAATCCCTCAGAAATAATTTTTGATTTTACATATGTCTTGCATCTAAAAATATACCCAATACACAGTTAAATGTGTCCAATCATACTGTATAATTCTGCATGTCCCGATGTGCTTTGAATTGCATCTGAAATATATATAATATATGGGGAAATATATGTGAACCATTACGCAACTAGTTGACAATTGTTTTAGGTATGCCCGTTTGCGCTAAGACGGAACCCGGTCACAAAAATGGCCACGACAGGGGCACGAGTCGCTATTCGGCTTGTCCCGGAATAACACGAGTTGGTCACGAATGCAGCTGATAGGTCAGGTGAAGGCCAGACCGTATTCAAGACTTGTTTAGGTAGGTTCTGCGCAGAATCACAGGAAGGTTATACATTGTTGGATTCTTGTGGCTATCTACATCACATTAGGGTATTTTTCACAATGAATGAGTGAGTGAGCTGGGTTTAACGCCGCTTTTAACAGTATTCCGGTTATATCGCCGCGTGTCAGTTAAATGTGGGAGGAAAGCCCTAAGTGATACAGGTCTTAGACGTTTACCACTTCGGTGAAACCCACGAGCACGGGTATGGTGCTGACAAACCTAGAAACATAATCGGGGAAAACTGGGATTCGAACCCACAATCATAGGTTTCTGGCATGCCCAAAGGACGCAACTCTGCACAGCGAATCGCGGCGATTTCGACGACTGGGCCACCCGTGCCCCCTTTCACAATGAAGAGCACCCGTGAAGATCCGGGATAGAATAGCTCTTCAGCAACCCATGCTTGTCGTTAAAGGCGACTATACTTGTCGTAAGGGGCAACTAACGGGATCGGGGGGTCAGGCTCGCTGACTTGGTTGATGAATTTCATCGATCCCAATTGCGTGGATCGATGCTCATGATGTCAATAACAGGATTGTCTGGTCCAGACTCGATTATTTACAGACCGCCGTCATATAGCTGGAATATTGCTGAGTGCGGCGTCAAACTACAAACAAACAAACACAATGAAGAGGCTATAAAGACAATATTATTTAATTTATATTTCCAAATAAAGCAATAGTAAAACATCTGTCATAAAAACCTGAAACACCTTTTTTGCACCTTTAACGCCGTACTTGTGTTTGCGTTGAATGCTATTTTAGTCGATGTTACCTGACATCCTCTAGTGCCAGCTTTCAACATATCTCTTCATGTGCATACTCACGTGCATTTCTTAGTATCGTCGGAGATGTCAGCTTTGGCAGCATCGATCTCACACTGGCAGGCGGTTGTGATAACTGATAAAAAGTTACACCAAATTGTATATAACATTTCCTTTGTAAATACAATATAATGGACATGGACTGTTTGATATTTTGGTAAGAAAACGATACCCTCGAAATATCTTATTGACTGTGTTACTTCTACTTAAAATATGTCACTTTCAACCTTACATTGTTTAGGGGTACGTACAATCTTACTGCAATTCACGATATAGCTACAACGTTAAAGGACCATTGGCATGGGCGTGCAATCTCAGAGTAATTAACTACAATGCGTGTTAGAGTGATTGTTTGTTTGTTTGTTGTTTAACGCCACGCTCAGCAATATTCTAGCTATGTGACGGCGTTCTGCAATTAATCGAGTCTGAACCAGATAATCCAGTGACTGACATCATTAGCATCGACCCACGCAATCGAAATCCGATGACATGCATCAACCAAGTCAGCGAGCCTGACTACCTGATCCCGTTAGTCGCCTTTAACGGGAAGCATAGTCGCCTTTAACGGGAAGCATAGTCGCCTTTTACGGCAAGCATAGTCGCCTTTTACGGCAAGCATAGTCGCCTTTTACGGCAAGCATAGTCGCCTTTTACGGCAAGAATGGGCTGCTATTCTACTCTGGATCTTCACGGGTAGAGTTTGATTTTAACGGTATTCTAGTTATATCACTGCGTAAAAGTTTGGAGTCTTAGACACTTTGACGAAACCCACGAGCGCGGGGATGGTGCTTAAAAACTATGAACATATTCAGAGCGAACCGAAGTTCGAACCCATACCACCTCAGACGACTGAGCTGCCAATTCCCCCAACTATGGTATGAGTTAGCTCCTAACAGCATTTCAATTATGCCATATCGTCTCGGATGAGGAAAGAAAGCCGATTGTGCCCTAAATGGGCTTCATACCTTATTCTCATGTGAGGCCTAATCCCGGGCTTCGGCGTGACGAGTGAACGCGTCAACCACTAAGCTACCCATGAACCGCAAGGTACGTGAACAGCAAATGTGAAGATTTTGAAAGGGCGCCAAACGGCTCTTGCTCAAAAGTTGTTTGATAAGGGTTACAGTCATTCGTGACCAACTCGTGTTATTCCGGGACAAGCCGAATAGCGACTCGTGCCCCTCTCGTGGCCATTTTTGCGACCGGGTTCCGTCTTAGCGCAAACGGGCATACATAAAACAATTGTCAACTCGTTGCGCAATGGTTCACATATATTTCCCCACATATCATTTATATTTCAGTTGTAATTAAAAGCACATCAGGACATACGAAATTATACAGTATGATTGAACACATTTAACTGTGTCTTGGGTATATTTTTAGATGCAAGACATATGTAAAAGCAGAAATTATTTCTGAAGGATTCTTTGACGAAGAACTTGAAATCATACGCGCATTCTGATTGGTTTGTCGTATTTTCGCACATAACTTTCATCGATAGGGGGACGAGTCTTCTTGCAGGTTACGGAAAGGGGCGAGTGGTGACGAATGGGGTTACAGTATTCAAAACCGTTTCATGGTAGACACGAGGAAGACATTTCAAAATTTGACGCATCAGTGACAAAAATTATATCTGATGCAAATCCCTATGTTCCCGTGGTATTTTTCAGGTGAACGATTGACTTGCCTATCCATGTGTTTGTGACAGGGGACATTCGTGGGGCAGGATTCGTTCACCTTCACGCGAAGACCTGGTATCATCACCATTCGTTAGTGATTCATTCTGTGGCTTTTATTTACCCTATCACATCCTTGAAATCTGCATGAAACGAATAGGGAACTTACCACAGTCTGTTGTGAGAGCCGTCATCCTTGCCTCGACACCAGTAGCCAGAGCCATTACGCCGGACCCATCACAGGTCGCTGCAGTCTTCCCCTTCAGACAAACGATGTAAGCCTGGGCGGCACTATGGAAATAGCGTAACTTTTAACATTCATATACTAGTACATAATATGTAAATCGGAAAGAACAATGAAGAACGCAGTTTTGTTTATTTCACGATAAACAGTTCTATCATGACGTCATTTCTGGAGGTTCGAACATGCGCTCGCAACATGATGACGTCGTAAATTGTACGACGTTATTTTTTAGAGGGGAGTGTCTCGTGAGCTGTTCCCCGTAGATGTAACTGGGCAACGCAGATAAAACCGATGGCCGAACGATCGCATGCAAAAGCGGGAGAGACGATTGTCATTGGGAGCAAAGGTATGGGGTATCGACGTAAGGATTGTGAGAATATGCGAAAAATATCCACCTGTGCATAAATGGACTTGTCGAGGTCGGATTCTATTGAGGGAGTCATCATTATTGAAATACGGGTAAATATTTGTAAAGTTTGTATCTTTCATCATCATGCTTAAAGAGGCTGTACATAATGTTGATATCTCATATAAGAAATAAAGAACGAGTGGGAGTTGTACAATAAAACACTGCAGGGAGAATAAACCACCCCTCGCTGGGCCCCTCGTGCTGTATTCTCCCTGCTGTGTTTTATGTATTGGAGAAAACACTTTCCCTCGGTTTTGGTAGACAGAGCATGCCTTTGGGAGAGGGAAAAAAAAACCGACCCCCAGGGCATGCTCTGTCTACCAAAACCGAGGGAAAGTGTTTTTCCATGCTTATAAACCGAAAAAAGAAACTTAAAACAACATTTATCAACATGTTTATGTTTCGAACATACTGTCCATGAACCTTAGGAAACGCGCGTAAAATATCTGTTGCTGGCGTACGGATCTTGAAAAGGACATTCTAAAAACCAGTGAGGCTTATCAACACCTCTGTAGCCTCGTGGTACACTTACTTGGCTACAGATATGAAGGTTGCGAGATCGATCCTCGTGAATATAAAGAAAACATTTGTCATTTGATTTTACATTTCATTACATGTTACAATCTGAACGAAAGTTATATTAATAAAATACCCAGGACATTATATAAAATCCCTGGGACATTACAACGTCCCTGTTTATGACATTTAACCCGACTGGAAAGTAAAACCTCACAATAGGTTTTAATGCCTATAGAAAGAAGTCTCTTACTCAATAGCGATCCCAATGAATAGGTTTATAATGTCCGATAAACTCCCACTCATCGTTTGGATCTGAATCAAGTATTTTCAAAATTCAAGCTAGAGTTACTAATAAACATACATGTTTACTGCAATAAACATAGGATGATTTGAAAGGTCCATCTGGGTTTATTAAAATCGTGGTTGAAAGTTTATACACTCTAACCAAAGATGCTTTTCCATAACTCCATGACATCTTATTGCCTCTTATTGCTGGCGGCCTCTTTTAACCCGGACTCCTCAAGGGTAGCACCATCAGTCTGAGTTTAAACAATAATGTCTTACGTGCAAACTGCAGCTGCATCGGCGCTCTGGTCAGTTTCCCAGAACAACTTCTGACAGAGGCAGGTATCCGTGAACGCTACGCAAAAATAGAACAAATAATTAAGTACATGTAATTTACATTCAAGTGAGTGAGTTTGGTTTAACACCGATTCGAAAGCTGTTTCAGTTGTGTGACGGCTAAAAGCTTGATATGGGAGGTAAGACCAAAGTACTGACATATTTTATTTTAAAAGTTATTATAAAAATATATATATATATTAATGTTTTCGTTCCCATTAAGAGATGAACGAATGTTTAAAAGGGGAAAATGAGATGTTCAGCCTAATACACATATGATGAAAACGGCAATGATTTAGTTTGTGTTTCAAAGTAGTTGGTTGTGGTATATATCTGTCTCCTTACAGCAAGAAGCACCGGTGTAATCGGTGCCGATCTGTGCGGCATCTGCTGTGGCCGGTGGGCATCCTGCGTCGCCCATAGCCGACGTCTCCAGACAGGTCAAGTACTCCTGCAGGGCACTGCACACAAAAAAAATTAAAAACATACTAGAACACACAATGATATACAAGGACATGATATATACTGAGTCAAATTAAAAACTTTTTAAAAGTAATCCCATATATGATATACAACGGACAAATGTATCAGAAAAGGTAATTTTTAATCATTAATGTCCAAAGAAGGATTTTAATTAACGGTGGTAACCATAATTTGATCCAAGCACCTACGGTATTCGGTAATAACATCAAAAGTTTAAATCATAAGTCCCAAGCACGAGAATCTGATGGGACACAAGTTCAGTAGCGTGTATGGCCACCATGTGCGTTGACAACTGCCACACAACGCCTCCGCATGGACCTTGTGATGCTTGTGAACACATGATGCGGAGGACGACGCCATTGTTGCTGCAAAATGGTGCCAAGATCTTGCAAATTCTGTGGTTGGTTCAGGAGAGTGCGCAGACTTCTGCCAAGAGCATCCCAGACGTGTTCGACGGGATTGAGGTCGGGAGACCTTGACGGCCAGTCCATGACGTTGACTCCCGCATACTGAAGGAAATTCCTTGTCAAAATTGCTGTGTGGGGTCTGGCATTGTCGTGTTGGAAGATCAAACCGGGTCCATGTGCTGCCATAAAAGGCAGAAGTTCTGGTGCCAGTACCTGGTCGCGGTAAGCAGCAGCGTTGATTTGCCACGCATGACAAGAAGCCTGGAACGTGCATTGCCACAGAAAGCACCCCACCCCATGAAACTTCCGCCTCGAAATCTGTCAACTTCCTGTACACAACACTGGGCGTAACGTTCATGACGACGCCTCCACACCCTCGCCCTACCATCAGCAAATCGAAGATTAATCGGGATTCATCACTGAAGACGACTTGATTCCAATTCCTCTGAGTCCATCGTAAGTGTCGCTGTGCCCACAATTGACGTTGACGTTTGTGTAATTGATTCAGAATCGGCCCGCAGTATGGCCGTCGTGCTTGAAGGTGAGCAGTTCTCAGACGGTTTCGAACAGTTTGCGCACTCAGTCTACCCCTAAACAGTTCATTTCTGGTTGATGTAGCCATCAAAAATCGGTTACGGAGGTGACATAAGACAATCTGACGATCCTCTGCATGTGACGTCACACGTGGTCGACCTGGCCGAGGGCGATCAGCGGTGGTACCCGTTTGCTGTAGACGCGTCTGTAAATCATAAACAGTCCGTCGACTACAACCCATCGTCCTTGCGGCTTCAGCTACGGACGTTCCCGTCTGCAACATGCCGATGGCACGTTCACGTTGAACATTTGAAAGGCTTTGCATGACAAATGGCCGTAAAGACTTTTGTTTTCTTGTGTTTTTCTTTTTTTGTTAATGACTGCTAACAAGTATGGCTGTAAACACGTGCGGTATTATGGCCACGTGACCAGTTGCACGTGAAAAAACACTTTTGCCACTATAGTGCTGTGCACATGATTTTGATCGATTCACCTGCACAAAAACGGGTGTTTTCTGAGACAATACGTGGCCATTTCTGTTTAAATACACAATAAGGGCCCACAATGATAACTGGTCAAAATTTTAGGATTGGGAAGTTTTTAATTTGGTTCAGTATATAAGAGAGAGAGAGGGGGGGGGGGGGGGGAGGAGTCAGACATACAGGGAGAGACACAGAGAGGAATGAGATGGGAGAGAGGGAGAAAAAGAGCGACACACACAGAAAGAGATACAGAGAGAGGAGAGAGTGAGACAGAGAGACATAGAGAGTGATACAGAGAAAGAGACACAGCGACACCGAGAGAGGAGAGAGGGAGAGACACAGAAAGAAAGAGAGAGATAGGAGAGAGCGAGACAGGGAGAGAGACATACAGAGAGGAGAAAGACTCACACAGAGACAAGGAGAGATAGAGAGAGACACACACAGTGTTAAAATGAGAGAGGGAAAGAGAGGGCGGGAGGGAGGCAGACATACAGACAGACAGACAAAAAAGGGATGGGACATACACACACGAGTTCCCATTGCTTTTCTGGGTTTTTTTAAATATATAGGCAGCATAAACGACAATTCGGCTGATTTCTCGAACGTTTAGAGAAAATGTTACTATGAGCAAGTCCGTTGCCCAAGCAGACGTCTAATTCAAGCAGACGCCTAATTCAAGCAGACGCCTAATTCAAATATTTGAAAAATGCTCACTAAACGTCTGTACCTCTCCATGCAAAGTCAAAACAAGAAATTTTCTAAAATAAAGAAGAACAGATCTTTTAAATGTCGAATAGATGTCAGAAAGTTTCCTCATTTCTTCACATAGGCGGATGCTGGTGCCTTTGTCAAACACTTATAAAGGCATGGGGCTAGTTCCATAACATTGCATTGAGATAATCTTAAAGATGTAGCAAATGTGGTTTTCAAGAGATTCTTTCTGTGACTTCTAAGTACAAGATAAAATAAGACCGCTGAGAAATCAATTCGGAACACATTTTAGGTTACTAGATTATCTCGCATGAGTATCGTTGAGTTTCTGAAATGAACCGATGTTTATCTGAAATCCCTCGGTAAAAGGAAGTGACTCGTTCGTATGCGTCTTCCGCTACACGTTGTCCTAACTCCGTGAAACTTGCGAACATATATTCCGAACCTGTATAAATGAATCTCGGTTAGATAAATTCGCTGCCATCTAACGCTCGGGGTACATTGGCTCATACACTGGGTATATCACAGCATATACCCCTCGAGATCGGTTGACAGCTTATATTGTACGTGTAGTTTGATCATTATGATTTAAGCCAGATATCCTAAATACCTAATGCAACAAGCAAACACATCGGCGAACGAAAGCCTATATCACGGCGTGTCAGCTTAATAGGGAGGAAAGCCCGAAGTGATGCAGGTCTCAGACGTTTACCACTTTGGCGAAACCCACGAGCACGGGTATGGTGCTGACAAACCTAGAAACATTATCGGGGCGAACCAGGATTCGAACCCACATTCATAGGTTTCCGGTGTGTCCAAGGGACGCAACTCTTCACGGCGAATTGCGGCGCCTTAGACGACTTAGCCACCCGTGCCCCCACAGTAATATTCAAAGGAGTATTCAACGATATACTGGTGTCATAGGGTACAGGAGTTTCAATATACAGTAAACTACGTTTATAACGAACAGACGGATATAACGAACCTTTTTTTGTCCCGGTCATTTGCTGGATATCCTGTATATATGCTTATAACGAACTACGGTTATAACGAACTGAAATTAGTGGTCCCTTTGAGTTCTTTATAACCGTAGTTTACTGTACATAGGTTTAATGATGCTGACTTACGTGCACTTTTCAGCATCGGTGGCGCCTCCAGCGTCCCTAGCTGCCTCATACGTGGTCTTACAAACGGTACACGTAGTCGCCGAGCTGCTCGGACAGAAGACTGGAACATACAGAATGACATGACGTTAAGTGACCCGGAAGTACACACTGGAACATACAGAATGACATGACGTTGAGTGACCTGGAAGTGTAAACTGGAAAATACAGAATGACATGACGTAAAGTGACCTGGAAGTACACACTGGAACATACAGAATGACATGACGTTAAGTGACCCGGAAGTACACATTGGAACATACAGAATGACATGACGTAAAGTGACCTGGAATTGTAAACTGGAAAATACAGAATGACATGACGTTAAGTGACCCGGAAGTACACACTGGAACATACAGAATGACATGACGTTAAGTGACCTGGAAGTGCACACTGGAACATACAGAATGACATGACGTAAAGTGACCTGGAAGTGTAAACTGGAACATACAGAATGACATGACGTAAAGTGACATGCTAGTCCGCACTGGAACATACAGAATGACATGACGTTAAGTGACCTGGAAGTACACACTGGAACATACAGAATGACATGACGTTAAGTGACCAGGAAGTACACACTGGAACATACAGAATGACATGACGTAAAGTGACCTGGAAGTGTAAACTGGAAAATGCAGAATGACATGACGTTAAGTGACATGCTAGTCCGCACTGGAACATACAGAATGACATGACGTTAAGTGACCTGGAAGTACACACTGGAACATACAGAATGACATGACGTTAAGTGACCCGGAAGTACACACTGGAACATACAGAATGACATGACGTTAAGTGACCCAGAAGTACACACTGGAACATACAGAATGACATGACGTTAAGTGACCCGGAAGTACACACTGGAACATACAGAATGACATAACGTTAAGTGACCCGGAAGTACACACTGGAACATACAGAATGACATGACGTAAAGTGACCTGCCAGTACGCACTGGAACATACAGAATGACATGACGTAAAGTGACCTGGAAGTGTAAACTGGAACATACAGAATGACATGACGTAAAGTGACCTGGAAGTGTAAACTGGAACATACAGAATGACATGACGTTGAGTAACCTGGAAGTGTAAACTGGAAAATGCAGAATTACATGACGTAAAGTGACATGCTAGTCCGCACTGGAACATACAGAATGACATGACGTTAAGTGACCTGGAAGTACACACTGGAACATACAGAATGACATGACGTAAAGTGACCTGGAAGTACACACTGGAACATACAGAATGACATGACGTAAAGTGACCTGGAAGTGTAAACTGGAAAATGCAGAATGACATGACGTTAAGTGACATGCTAGTCCGCACTGGAACATACAGAATGACATGACGTAAAGTGACCTGGAAGTATACACTGGAACATACAGAATGACATGACGTTAAGTGACATGGAAGTATACACTGGAACATACAGAATGACATGACGTTAAGTAACCCGGAAGTATACACTGGAACATACAGAATGACATGACGTTAAGTGACCTGGAAGTATACACTGGAACATACAGAATGACATGACGTTAAGTGACCCGGAAGTACACACTGGAACATACAGAATGACATGACGTTAAGTAACCTGGAAGTATACACTGGAACATACAGAATGACATGACGTTAAGTAACCTGGAAGTACGCACTGGAACATACAGAATGACATGACGTTAAGTGACCTGCAAGTATACACTGGAACATACAGAATGACATGACGTTAAGTGACCTGCAAGTATACACTGGAACATACAGAATGACATGACGTTAAGTGACCTGCCAGTACGCACTGGAACATACAGAATGACATGACGTTAAGTAACCTGGAAGTACACACTGGAACATACAGAATGACATGACGTTAAGTGACCTGGAAGTATACACTGGAACATACAGAATGACATGACGTTAAGTGACATGGAAGTACACACTGGAACATACAGAATGACATGACGTTAAGTAACCTGGAAGTACACACTGGAACATACAGAATGACATGACGTTAAGTGACCTGCAAGTACACACTGGAACATACAGAATGACATGACGTTAAGTGACATGGAAGTACGCACTGGAACATACAGAATGACATGACGTTAAGTGACATGGAAGTACACACTGGAACATACAGAATGACATGACGTTAAGTGACATGGAAGTACACACTGGAACATACAGAATGACATGACGTTAAGTGACATGGAAGTATACACTGGAACATACAGAATGACATGACGTTAAGTAACCTGGAAGTACACACTGGAACATACAGAATGACATGACGTTAAGTGACATGGAAGTACACACTGGAACATACAGAATGACATGACGTTAAGTGACATGGAAGTACACACTGGAACATACAGACTGACATGACGTTAAGTGACATGGAAGTGTAGACTGGAACATACAGAATGACATGACGTTAAGTAACCTGGAAGTACACAAGTGTGGTTCAAGATTGGGTTTTGTTTTGTCTTGTCTTCTAATTGACGACGCACTCAGTAATATTCCAGCTGTATGACGGCGGTATGTGAATAATCGAGTCTTGGTCGGACAGGCAAGCGATCAAGATTTACGCCATCAGGTTACTGTGACCATCTTCCCGAGGCAAGGGCGTTCGCCTGACATGAACCCAATTGAAGATTTATGGTACAACCTCGATCGCCAGAAGTCGACCAGTGGCTCTGGTCAACCGACAGCAATTTGAACAAGGCCTCTTACCGAATGGCAACGCACCCCCACCCCACACACACACACCTCACCAAACAAATGCTCTCACTGACTCTAAGTTTCATTTTCACTTATGTACAGTGAATGCATTTATCCGTATTATTATATTAATATGAAATTCATAAATTATTTATGTGGAGTGTACTCTCCATTTTTCTAAGATACTCTTTTGCAAATCTTTGACCTGTACATGATGTGTCTTTTGTAATGTCAGCAATGGCTTCATCTTTTCGTTCAATGAAGTTGCCATCTGCATTTATATCAAATACGCTTACAGACAGTCGGTGATTTTCCTCCGTTGTGAATTTGTTGTCTGGACATGTGTGCGCGGTTTGACGTCACGTGTTTTGACGTGCATGATGTCACGTGATACAGCTTATATTTGTCGTGGTCGTAAAAGATACACGTGGTTTATGTTTCTAAACAAATAATGATATAATCTATGATTGCATTAATACGCATAGTATAACACGATTTGGGAGATTTCTTCGGTGACCGACTAGTAATTAGAGACCGTCGATCGCTTGATAAACACTGAAGGAATTTAAAACAGTTTTCCAATGTTGAAATGTGCTTTAAAAAAATTATCATATGTGCATATAATTGCCAAAATATCAAACAAAGATGTAATTCGAAAAAAGCTTTCTGTACGCTTTGGCCACACAGATTAATTTCGAATAGTTCGATAACATAATATAGAAAAGACACACAGAATACATAATTGATTTCTGAGTGATGATGTTTTTAAAGACATTTACCCTGCATCCTCTGTTGATGCAATATTGTTTTGTTTTTGTTTGTTACGTAATATTCCAGCTATATGACGGCGGTTGATGTCTAATTAATATCTACATTATCAAATAATTTAATGCCATATGAATATAAACGTATTTAGTTAGTAAATATAACAAATAAATAATAATAAATAGAATTTGTAGACAATAAAACGTGTCTTGGAACATATTCACTGTGTTGAGTATTTTAGCGTCATTACTTCCTCTTAAACTGTTAAGTATTATATGGAGTGTGTTTTTTAACTTACATTTAAAATAGATTAATATAATTTAAAAGTTGCTTGGACTAAAAAACAAACATGAAAGAGAATTTCATGACCTGGCCATAAAGACATGTCTTAAGGAAATGCCCACGTCAAGGCAGTCAAGCGCGCAGTACAAGGCAGACGAATCTTTATCTGAGTAAGGATAGGATTTATTTATGAACAACTACTCTATTACATAAAGCCAAAGTCCTATCCTTACTTTGTAATCCATCTTCTAAATGCCTATCAAAGAAGTAATGTTTAACTGTAGCATATTTGTTCAGATAGTTGAGCACATTAAAAGGATTTAACAATAATTTATTTCAAGTGATTCGTATTTTCAAAATTTTCTCTTTCGCTTAATCTTGATATTTTTTAATTATAATCGTAATGTAAAAATAACACATGCCTCTTATTTCACCTTATCTAGCTGTTGTTTTCCGTGTAAAGAAAAAACAGTCTACTCTTACTTCTTGTTTAAGATTATGCATTTTATTATTTAGATTTAACAATTAACAACATACCACCCGAAGTACTAATAACTAGTCTCCCAAGTTGCACAACGAACTGATCGAAAAAAGGTTTGTTGAATAAAAAATGTTCGATGCCAATTACCGCAAAGTTGTTTTCATCATAAATTTACGAACACCGAATGGACGTGAGCGGAATATCATCTGGATATAAAATCCAAACCGTCACTCTTATTGTAGTATATTATTTAAAACAGTCTCCTTATTGACAAATCACGATCACTTCAAACGCGTTTTGACGTCGAAAACACCGACAATGTCAACTCGCGCACAATGTTTTCATGCATGTACACTTTAAATTAAAAAAACACGGTTTGCATTATAAACAACTACTAATGGGTCTTAGACGTCTTATCTTTGAAAATTAATAAATTTACACCATTTCCAACGTATTTATTATTTAATGTTTATTTCATAAAATGATAATTGTGAGGAAGAAACTTACCCAGAAGCAAAGCAAAGACGAACAGATTCAACATGGTGGGCGATGCTAGCGAGACCCCGTTACAACTTGTGGATGGACGGATACTGGAATAGCGAACAACGCGCCTCTCTATATGTCATCCGCGTTCCCATAGCACTGTCATGTTGGGTCACATGGGCTGAAAATAACAAAGTAATTCGACACAGGCCTTTTCAATGTTGGTGACGTATAGGGAATGGGACTATTCCACCATCTAACATCTCCTGAGTGGTTGTGACAAAAGCAGGATTTGACATGCTACGGGAATCACCATCAATGTACAGAACAGATTCTATCGGGTCATTAAAGCCATCCGATACCCGACTGGTCTCGCCGTTGCCACAACAGAAGGCATATAAAATTGCATCTAATTGTCAGCTGACCTCTGGATCTGACATCAATCTTTTTTTCTGTCAGTTCTGCCTGGCTGGACACAAGAACTGGCTGTGTGGTAGACGGCGGATAATGTCCAGGGTCGGTGTTCATGTAGTGACACACGAAATTTGGAACCTGGGATGAGAGTTAGTTGAGAGCATAGACATTTTGAATATAATTCTAAAAAGACATCCGAGCGATGTTCTTAAGGAGTAGTGAGTGAGTATAATTTTACGCCGCTTTTAGCAATATTCCAGCAATATCACGGCGGGGGACACCAGAAATGGGCTTCACACATTGTACCCATGTCGGGAATCGAACCCGGGTCTTCGGCGTGACGAGCGAACGCTTAAACCACTAGGCTACCCGACCGCCCCTTTAAGGAGTAAGGTGTGTGTGTGGGGGGGGGGAGGGGGGGGGGGGGAGAATTAAGCCGAAATATTAAATGATTGGCCCCTAACTGCACAAGGTAGAGGTAACACAACCCTAGTGGACCTATGAAAGTCGTTCTTTAAAAGCAAAAAATGAATAGGTTAACATGTTTTTTAAATGCGTAACATATTTATCATATATCTGACATGCTTATGGTATAGTTGGTATGGTTCTATGGAGTCTGTTTTTTACCTGATTAAGCAATTCTTTTTTCGCTTTTGTTACAATATACCCAGTAAGTTGCTGTTCGCTATTGCAACCAATTAACATTTTTCACTGGTAACTGGTTAAATGGGTAGTGAACATATACTGGCGTCTAAAATGTACAGGGGGACACGACCGGTGTATTCTCCAAGAAACAAGTACGGACGATAATCATATACATTTATGGATAACTGCAAATTAATATTATTGTGTTGGGTCACAAAGTGCGTCAAACTCTTCAGTTTTTCGTTTCTTTTAAACTGACGTACATTGCTATTGTAGAAAAATGTTTAAATTTAAAGAATTTAAATCTACTTAAAATATCAATCTTCTGAAAGGCTATTAATCACCAGTATATTTTAAACCTTGAAATGAAAGATGAATTTAGTGTTTTGCGTTTCTAAAAGATCACAATATGCTGAGAACACGGTCACTGGCACTGTTCATTATGGTATATATAGTGGACAAAGTTTGAAATATGGATACCGTTAACCAACCAACATACATGCACGGGCACATCAATGTACATTACTAAATCTGCTGTATCGTGTATTGCGTTCTTGCCAACCTTTGGTATGTGACGTCGCTAACGTCTTGCAACACAGGTTCACAAGAAAAGGGCAAAGGTTGAATTGGTTTTAAAACGAACCCAGCCCTTTGTCATGGAAGATTTCAATGTATGTGCAAAACAAAACCTTCCGCTGATACCTCGACACTGACTCGGCAGTTTCAGATGGGTATCGCATGTACGGGACCTACAATCGGTTTGTGGGAGATGTCACGCCAATCCTTTCTCAGTTAACCCCATGGATAAAGGAATATGTGTTAAGCAGGCATTTATGTTATCGGCCATAACGATTTCTCATTTCCCAAACAATGTGAACCTCAAGGGGAGTCTCGGTTTACTTGGCAGTTGGTCAATTAGTTGATTTATCTCATACTGACACAGACGATGTTTCTGTTAGACTTGAATGAACAAACAGGTCCATGAATCATATAATCGAACCTGATTCTACGTGTTCCCATGGCGAGGGAGTGCCTATATGATGAAACATTCCAATAAAAAAAAGTATATAATCTAAATTAAACATTTCATTGTATAATTATCACGGTGTGAGCGTGAACATGGTATTGCGCGTACGTTTATGTTTAAACATAATCTGCCGGGCAAAGAGTGAGTGAGTTAATATTTAACATCACATCGGCAGTATCGTATCAGCCATATCGTGACGAGAAGTTATACATTAATGATACATATATTTAGACTCAATATAAACCTGTCAACGATGGACAGTACAATATCTAGAATATCACAGATTTGATTGAAAACTAGTTGAGAATATTAAAAAGCAGTAAGTATTAATGAACAACACAATATAAAAATGGGCTAGAGATCGTCAGTCACTGAAGGGAGATCACCATACTAGGGGCCATGGGGACTTAGCCGGGCAAGGAAAGTATACACTTGAAAATTGCATTTGACCGAAAACTAACAACCGTTATCAAAACGTTACTAGGTTTAAAACAGTCGCCGAAACACTGCAAACGTAAGGTTCAAAACACAACTGAGTATCCAACCGTATAAAACAACAGCACCGAATAACCATTTCTTGTTGTTTTATTTTTAACCACCATTAACCATTCGTGTCTACTTCCATAAGCTCAGAAGCATTTATCTATGCTGCGTCAACTACAAAACAAAATGTTTTGGCCGTAACTTGAACGTTTCTCTTTACTAATAAGCAGCAAAATATCTACACATGTCCACAGCAGACGTAATTCAAAATTAACATATCGTTTTGATTAGTTTTCAACAAAATTAGAAGTGGTACTATCGTGTCACTGGATTGTCTGGTTTGTGTACATGCTGACGTCGCAAGGCAGGTCTACTGCTGTGTTGCGCCAGGCAATAAATATATTCTTACATTTTGATGCAAGCTGTATGAATGGCGGGTGCTACCGATAGGGCAGGACATACTCACTGTTCCAGCGAACACCTGGTGTCATCAATAATTTTCAGTGATCCATTTATATCATTTCCACAGCTATTTTGCCCTTTACGCCAAATGGAATCTGTTTCGGCAGAAAGTCTAGGCTGGTTATTCTCTTGCATCATACTTTGTTTTATCCGCAGAAAAGTGGGTGAGATATATAAGTTGTGCTAAGTAATCGCGAGGCATTCTCTCTACACATGCTACAAGGAATGCGTACAATCAGAGATTATATGTTATTCATAACATCACTCAGGCAATACATAATCATTTCAATATTATTGCCTGAAGATCCATATCTATTCATATTCTCTTGAATGACAAAAAGACGCTCATCTGGTGTCCGCCGACGTGAAGCTGTAAATGCGGCGTAAAACCTCACTCACTCACTCACTCACTCACTCACTCACTCACTCACTCACTCTACAATGACATTACATATAACTAAACTGAGGGGCAAAAGAAAGTATACCAAGTATATTTTTTATGTGATTTAAAGAACTGTTTCATAGTTTCAGTATGTTTATTTGGGGTAAGAAATGTATTTGCAGCAACAATGCCCCCCACCATGTGTGAATTATTGTAAATATCTGCTAAAAAAAGCTAATTTATTGATTTTCAAAGATAAGATTCCAAGATACCCATCAGTAGTTGTGCATTATTTTACAGTTTAAAAAAAAAAATCAAATTATATTTGGATATATGGTTACTTGTGACTCATAACTCGAGTCTTGTTTAGCTACAACTACAATGTATATTGCTGTTTCTAATGGTTACCTTCATTTTATACAGGATCTGATATCCTTCGGTATGTATGCTGTATATTGTGTTCTGGTTGCTATATACGTAGCTTCAACTTTGCTTAGTAGACATAACAGTTAAAACAGTGTCATTCTCTCACCACAGTCATCTGACATAAACTAATTTGGTGTCGGTTGAAGAAAATAATATAATCTTCTACAACAATTTCAAGGATTATGTATTAAAATATTGACTTCCACGGGGCATTTCGCATGGGTGAGATGAAGCGATATTGCTTATGAGATATCGCTACGATGAATTTCCTTCATAATGCTTTGGAGACCATTGTGACGCCATTGGTAACCATGACGTCAGAATCAAATTACATCGCTAATCTCTCTTCCATCGAAGCTGGTTAGCTGTACTTTACACTCAAGATACTGGTTATTACTGTTAACAAACTATGAAAAATGACAAAATAATTTGGGATGATAAAGAGAATCTCTCCCTTGTGTCTTTTGATATCAAATATATATTTACTGACAGAGAGATATAGGGAATCTCACCCGAGTGTCCTTTTATATGAAAGATATCATCACTCGTCGATAAAACTTTAAAACTCCGAAGCTATCGACTGAGAGATTATGTGTAATCGGTGAATAGGTTATATATCCCTAAGTGAATGAGATATCATGCATCTGCATACATCACGTACAGTCAGACCATCTTCCACTTGTTATTACAATTCCACTGAAGCACAAAATCCCAGATAATGAAAGTGCTAAGAATAGTTCTATGTATTTGGACAGAGTAAAATACTAGTATAAAGAGCAAGACAGATATTCGAATATCTACAAGGAACATGTCCAAGTTTTGTCGAGGTATGGATTGTTCATGGACATGATGTCGGTAACATATCTCTATGTCTGGTTGATTGTTATAACAAGATTGGCAATGCAAGCTCATTCATACTCATCGTTGACATTTTATTCTACTTTGAAAAGTGATTAGAGAAGAGAAGAAAATATATATCACATAGAAGAAATTAATTATGAGAAGGCACTGCTTAAATGTCGAAGTGGGTGTACTATATTTGGCATTCAGAAACGTGGGAAAGGTTCATGTTTGTGGACGATAAGGATATTCTTTTTATTAACGTTCTTGTATTAGAAAATAAAGAACATGTTCTCTTGCACGGTCCAAAATAGAATGAAATATGCTTTTCATCTTGTTCCTCAGATATTATTAATTATCATGATATAAGATCCTTTTGTTGATCAAATAACAAGAAAACAATATTTATGTTTGCTACATTTGTGTATATGTGTACAGTATAGTATATAAGTAGATGCATGTGTTATATGGCCAATCGAACAGTAAACAAATGTAATTGTCAT